GAAAACTCACCTTCTTCCATACCCTCACCCACGTACCAGTGGACAAAGGCACGCTTGGCATACATGAGATCAAACTTGTGGTCAATGCGACCAAACACCTCAGCCACACTGGTGGAGTTGGAAATCATGCATACTGCTCTCTGCACCTTGGCAAGGTCACCTCCAGGTACAACGGTAGGCGGCTGGTAGTTAATACCACACTTGAAACCAGTAGGACACCAATCCACAAACTGAATGGTCCTCTTAGTCTTTATGGTGGCAACAGCAGCATTCACATCTTTGGGCACAACATCACCACGGTACATCAGGCAACAGGCCATGTACTTCCCATGGCGAGGATCACACTTAGCCATCATGGAAGATGGTTCAAAGGCACTGTTGGTAATTTCAGCAACTGAAAGCTGTTCATGGTAAGCCTTCTCGGCAGAGATAACTGGTGCATAGGAGGAAAGCATGAAATGGATTCTAGGATATGGGACCAGGTTGGTCTGGAATTCAGTCACATCCACATTCAGGGCACCATCAAACCTCAGGGAAGCAGTCAGAGAAGAAATTACCTAATCCCAAAGAAAGAAACATTAATTAATTCACAGAATTGGTAATAATTACAAGGAATCACTTACTACCATGCATATCATTACCTGAGAAACAAGACGGTTCAGATTGGTGTAGGTGGGACGCTCAATGTCAAGGGAGCGCCTGCAGATGTCATAAATTGCTTCATTGTCCAAGAGTACTGCAACATCAGTGTGCTCCAAGAGGGAGTGGGTGGAGAGAACACTGTTGTATGGCTCAACAACAGAAGTGGACACCTGAGGTGAGGGATAAACAGTGAAACCCAGCTTGGATTTCTTGCCATAATCAACAGAAAGACGCTCCAACAAAAGGGAACCAAGTCCAGAACCAGTTCCTCCACCAACGGCATTGAAGACCAAGAACCCCTGGAGACCAGTGCAGTTGTCAGCAAGCTTTCTGATGCGGTCCAAGCACAGATCAACGATCTCTTTCCCAACTGATAAAAATTGCAAACAAATATAACTTAAGGTGTAAGAAATTATAATAACCACATCTGAAGTTATAAGAAGTCACGCATATAATAATGCGTTGCGACTTACTGGTATAATGGCCACGGGCAAAGTTGTTAGCGGCATCTTCTTTGCCGCTGATGAGCTGCTCTGGGTGGAAGAGCTGGCGGTAAGCTCCAGTCCTCACCTCATCAATCACAGTGGGCTCAAGATCCACAAAGACGGCACGTGGAACATGCTTTCCAGCTCCAGTTTCACTGAAGAAAGTGTTGAAAGCATCATCCCCGCCGCCAACAGTCTTGTCACTTGGCATTTGACCATCAGGCTATAGAAATTATAAATATCAGCTCTCCATACATAAATGTTAACAAATCACATGATAAAAACGACCAAATTATGATATTTACTAAGCACAATTATTGAATTCAGTACATTTCAGCATTTAAAAGTGCAAGATTAAAAAAAAAATGCAAACTACAGGAGCAAACAATGAAATCAGGAGCACAAAATACTATATCTGACAGCTAAACAAAACATAATCAAAATAACTAGCAAGCTGCACGTCTAGATACAAAAATAGAAAGCGAGCCCGCATTCTGACTTGAAGTAACATTCTAAAACAGGTCATATTACAAGTAACATAAATCTACAACTGATTCAGAGAATACAATAACAAAACAAAACGGATCTGGAAAAACAAACGATAAAAGGTGAGTTCAAACTCCAATAACACAATAATGAAAGAAAACAGATCCTGGAAAATAACCGGAAGATTTGTTTCAAAAACAAAGTTTTAAAAAAACAATGATCTAAGAAAAATAATGAACAGATTAAATTTTAAACATAACGTTACAATTTCCTTAGATCTGAGAAATGAATACTTGTATGCACAAAGGAAATACACGAAAGAAACCTTCGCAACACAGATCTAGCTTAAATCGAAAAAAAGAAAAATGAAAAATGAAGGAAGCATTTTAAGATGGAAGACTGACCCCGATGCCGTGCTCGAGACAGTAGAGCTCCCAGCAAGCATTTCCGACCTGGATACCGGCCTGACCAATGTGGATTGAGATGCACTCTCTCATTTTCACAGATTGAAAAAGAAAAGTGAATTGCAACGAGGAAAGAAGGGGGTAGAGAGGTAGAAATTGAGAAGAAAGGCGTTTATGAAGACGCCTTCTTTGAAATGTGGATGCGAGGAGCGTTTGGGGAGTGGGGATTCCTTTTATAGGGAGATAAATGGGGTTGCTGCGCTGTCATTGTCCCTAACCAGGGTTAGTTCACGGTGCGCCAGACATGGTTGAGCTGTCTGCATCCCATGTAACCCAACTTGGTAACCACGGTTAGTTCCTATCCTTTTCATTTTTTTCAAATTTAAAGTTATTTTTGCCGCCCGAGGCCTGTCCAAAACTGCCGTTTGCACTGGAGTGGATTTTCAAACATATTATGGCAAACCAGAACAACGGTAAGAATTGGGGGCGTTGCCTTCCTCTTCCATGTTTTTTTAACAAAATACTAACTTTGGAAACTTAAACTTTGCCTGGGAAAGGAGAAAAATTAAATTAAATTATAATTCATTTAGTTTACGAAAAATTATGCGAAAATAAAGTTATAAGGTTATTTAATTTGGGAAAAAATATATTCATCTAAAATATTTGGTTTAATATTTGTGTTATTAACCCATGTTGTTGCAGCTTCACATCTTGTATTGCAATTTACAATAATTACTAAGAAAAAAAAAGTTGTTAATATGACTATTTCGGAATAAAAATCTCAACTGCCACCTACCTGGTTGATGATGAAATGTTTGAACTTTTCAAAAATAAATTAATGTGCCATATTTCATATATGTTGATGCTAGTATTTGTGACGTTATAGCCGTCAGTTTCTTTTTTTTTTTGCATTTGAAGTAATTTAACAAAAGTTTTTGTATTATTATATCCATGTTTATGTTGTATGATTCTTTCTTAGTGTATGTTGCTGCTTGAGGAAGCCTTTGTTGTGAACTAGTCGAGCAAGACATGACTGTGTACACTTTTTAAGATTGATGCTATGACCTTGTTTTTCCTGAATCCTTATATTTTAACGTTTGGTTGTTTACTTGAGACCAAAGGCAAATTATCTAGCACGTAAATCATGGAATTGATAAACCTGATTGTGTTTATTAACTAAGAAAGACTAATCTATAATTATTTTAGTATGAGACCATCCAAATCTATTTAACAAACATTTAAAATCATCTCTTAACCTTAGTTAGCTTTAAGGATGAGAAAGAAGGTGAAAAAAAATTAAAGAAAGGGAACGAGGAATGAAAATATTTAGTATGGTGGAAAATAGTGAAAAAAATTATAAAAGTGGGTTCTTTTTATGAAAATTAAAAGTATCCAACAAAGTATAATTTGGCTTAATACTTTTGCGTGACCAGAAACTCTACTGTAAGTTATTCCAGAAATGCAATAATTGTACAACTTAAAAACACAATTCTCATTCCAATCTATACAAAAGTAAGGCCTGAAAATGACTTGCCTTAACATTCCTATTTTTTGTTCTTTGTATTTTCCTGTAATATCAGAAGTTTGATGGCGGCGATTTATAATGTATAAAATCAAACTTTCAAATCCCATTTCATTTGATTATAATAATTACTGCAACGATCCATTGTCATAACATCCATAAACAGTTTAACAAAAACAGAAAACTAATTGATACTGTTTATTTCATTGCCTTTATGGAGGCTGGATTTCACTTCAGTACAGTGTCCATGGCAAGTACAGCACCCCTTGTTTCAGTATCTTCGTTGCCAGCGTAACTGCAAAATATGTATGGATCTAACTAAAGTACTGATAACTAAAAGAAATCATGCTGAGACCTGAGATATACTACAAATATAAAAGATAACAAACAAAGGAAAACCCATTACTCCTTGACATTAATGGTAAAAAACAACTTCATAATTCAACTGATAGCCTAATGCATAACAAAAATAGTAGTAGAATTAACACACAACAAAAAGAAAAACAGAAATCCGTTGTCAGTTCAGAATACCCAATGATGTCCCATAAAGTTGAGTATGCATAAAGTAGTTTAGCAGTTAGCAATACAAAGTAACACTCGACCCACACAAAAAAAAGGTTAAGACAATGTACAGTACTATATTTTTGCCCATGATACTCCCATTTGCAAGAATCAAGATTCAGTGTAATCACGTAGTTAATGCGCTTAATTCTCCATCATCCTACTATCTATCTATTCCAGTTGCCTATTAAGTTAAACTATACAAACATTGCATTACTAGCATGCATACTCCGAACTATAACTAAAGTTGACTCAAATTAACAGTTTGGTTTTTCCATTTATCAAAACATGGCACTTTTCAAGTTCAACAATGTTTTTCATGCATTAATATGGAAAGGCACAAATGTATCACCACGCCAATGTTTTCTGCTGGTAGGAATCGTGCTCAAACAACTTTCTCAAATATCGTAACATACCATCATGATATAGTCAATTGGTTAGATTGGTAAGAAACATCACAAGATTCAAATCCCTGCATACTAATAATGTAATACACTGCACTACACTACTACAGTAAAATGTACACAGCGAAAACACGAGGTCCGTACATTTTTGGAGAAAATGACCCCGAGACAGTTTAATTTATGTGCTGGAAAAGAGTCAGGTTTTGCCTTGGCATAATGGGAAGACATGAACCAACGATAACGACTATGACCTGACCAGTCTTATTCAAAACAAATAACTAAACAAGTAAAACCAGCCAATAATTCTGATTTCTAACCATGAAAAAAGACCTACAACTCAATACTTAGAACATTATTTATTCAAAAATCATACACTCATGATGCACCCACCCTAGCAATGTATTTACCAAACAAAAATGGAGAAAATAGGTGAGCCATACCAAGGATTTGGTCCCAGCACTACACATCCCTGATGAGGAGAATTTAACTCAGCAGATTATGGATTGAAATCTCTCAATATACACGGGGGAATGATAATCCGCCTTGGTTGATATCTAGGGAATGCAACACAGAAGACTGGCTGCATACCATATTCTCCACCCCGAATTGGAGCAGGAGGCAGTCTAAGAGGATTGGGTGGGAGAATAAAGTTTCTTGTAATTCCACGTCGTCCAAAAGGAACCCCAAGCCACCTCTTTTTGGCTTGCCAGGTGACACCAAACAAATCCTTGAAAAGCCACCCTCTAATATCTCTTCCTTGTCTAAACTCTTCCAAATACTTCTTCTTCCACAACTCATTGCTGGAGGACAGGTATCGCAACTCTGAACAGGTGCAAGCCACATTGGCCAAATCAATACCGTGAAGACGCTCCAAAATCAAGATCTTAAGCTCCATCGGTAGCCGCATGAAACAGGGTGGAAGATCCAACCCAGCCTTTTCACAAAGATCAATCAACAGTGGCAGTGCAAGTCTATCTTTTACCAACTTCCACATTTCAAAAACTTCGTTCCCAAAGACAATATCATCCCCGTCAATTACACTGCCCTTAGATTCAGAATTTGCCAGCATCAACTCTAAAGCCTTAACATATTTACATCTATCCAAACAAACATTGTGCAACCTCGACCCATTATCATCATACAACGACCCACATACATTCACAAATTGCCCCAGTGTCTGAAATTTCAAATTCACACTATGAGAAGCACCATTAGCCAGAATATCAGCCAGAGTGTACCTCAACGATATCACCGAAGAAAACGGCGAATGAGAATCATCAAAAAGGTGAAAACCACTAACCGCCGTACCTGAGTCCTTGTCAATTCTAACAAACCCGGATTCAAGAATCACACCGTGAACCGTAAGCACTAACAGCTTGAAATTACTAACGTTTTCTCCGAGGGCTTCCTTAAGAACCCTTCTCACAAAGAAAGGCTCTGAATTGGTACTCACCACCACCGCCTCGTCAGACCCATCAATCATTTCGACGGTTTCCACCTCTGTGGAGTCCAAATTCGGAGACTTTTGCGGAGCGGGGATGGAGGGGGCATCGCCGTCGAGGGTTTTCGGCGATTTTTGGATGGTGGGTCCGTCGCGGGAAGCGGTTTCTGACTTATGGGGGAGGGCTTCGGGGGAGAAGGCGGTGGGGTTGAGAGAGTAGAAGATGAGATCGCCGGCGGCAACGCCAAGGGAGTGAAGAGAGTCGTGCGGCGAAGTGGCGCGGATTTCGTCCTTTCTATTGAGGGAAAGGTGCAGAGAAGAGGAAGAAGAGGTGATGGTTTGAGAAACGGTATCGATGAGTTCCTGCAGAGAACAGGAATTTGGGACGTTGATTTTGAGGGTTTCTTTGGATTCCAAGGATCTGAGTCTGAGCTTCATCGTGTTTGATTCTGTGTCGCGTGCTCTTTCTCTCTCAATTCTCGCTTGATCTTGTGTCTCGCAGTGCTTAAATTCGTTCATACATCTGTTTTATCTATCGGCTTCGTTTCCTTGTGGGTTTCAGAAACTTGACAAACACGAAATAAATCGGTTTTATTATTTATTTTATTTTAAACTAAGTATTAATCTTTAATTAAGTAAATTGCGTTTTAGTCACTTTAAACATTTTAAATTATTAAATATGTGAAAAAAAATTGCATTTTTATCCTTCTACATATTTTTTAAGTTTTTATTAATCGTAATTATAAATTATGAACTTATATAGATCATATATTGACATAATCAAAACAAACTTCTAATTATAAAATTCAAATTTATCGTTAAATAAAACTTAAATTAATGAAAATATTGTTTTCTAATGCCTTTAATATATTTAATCAAAGTGAATATATATTTAGAAATTTTAGACTTTTTTATACGACAAAATTGAATTAAGTGAATTTTAATATTTTTTTAATCTCATATCTTCGTAAAGATAACAATTCGCCTTCCACTCACATAAAATTAACATCACAGACAAAAAAACAATTTTTATCTTATAATTCTTTTATTAATATCAAAATCCTTATGTATTTATATTGATGAATTTAATCTTTAAATTTTTTTAAAAATTGTGAACATAAGTTTTTCTTAACTTTACAAAACAAATTGAAATTTTAGATGAAAGAGACTAATCTCATCCATTTTTTTCCAACTTTTTATCCTATATCATCGTTATAGTAATTGAGATTAATATACCAAAATTTTCCAATCTAATATGTAACATTTCTAAATCTACTCTATCTAAATAAATTAATTACAATTAAAAAAAATGTAGTGTTTGACAAGTAAATTAGGGAACCAAATACAAACATCATTATGAAGGTGTTTCGTTTGATGAACCTTTTTTTATACTTTAAATAATTTTGAGCGATGATCTTAACCTATGTGTTTATGTTTGGATTGGATGGAAGAGTGGATTTAAAATAGTGTAAAAGGAAAGAAAATGAATAAAAAGTGAGATTGTTTGAAATAATGAAAAAAAATAGTAGAAAGATGATTTTTTTTTATTAAAACATATTAAATAATAAGGTAGACTGATGAATGAATAAAATATTTTTTACATCATTTTATTAAAAATAAATAAAAATTTAAATTGAGATAAATATAATTTAATAAAATAATTATTTAATAAAATACATAAAAAATAAAAATTTAATTAATTTATGTATAAATTATAAATAAATATTAATACAATAAATAAGCTAATTATTCTTATATATATATATATATATATATATATATTTTTATAATATATATATATATATATATAATTTTTTTAGATTTATTTTTATATATTATTATAACTTAATATTTTATTAAAAAATATTTTTAAAATAAAATGTTATGATTAAAAAATTAATTTCAAATTTAATATTTATTTAAAATTATATAAACTATATATTTTCGATAGTATATAACTATATATTAAAATTAAATTAGCATATTCTAAGATAATCGATTAAGAAAAAAACTATATTATATATATTTTTTATATGTTTTTTATAATAAATTAAAAATATAGTTTAATTAGAAAACGTTATTAATGAATCATGGTTAAAATAAGATATGAATTATTAAGCATATTATTTTTTTAATAAATGTTTTCTTGAATAATAAATTTGTACGTAAATTTGATTTATATTTATTAAAATATGTACAGGTTTGATTTTTATAAGAAATAAAATTTTATGTAAGATCATTTTTGTAATGGTTTTAGGGAAAAAATAACTTTAACTACAAAATTTAATTTATTTTTTATAAAAAAAAAACAAAATAAACTTAATATAAACTCAATATAAATACCTGTAATATCATAATACATGTAAAAAAAAAATATTATGTGCAAAATTTAAAATTATTCATGTTAAAATCAGATTCACGACAGATTATGTTACCATGCATAATAAATTATATTGTGTCACATAATTTGTGATATGGGTCAACATAATCAATTATATAAAAGTAAAAGTGCTTTGTGTATATTATATATGATTTTCCAATATTTTCTTCACAAATGAGAAGTTGGCATTTCTGATAGGATTCCACTTTTATTTCTATGCAAATCAGCTTAAAATCACATAACCAAACATAATTAATTTTCACAAATCAGTATTCTTATTTTTCATTAACATTAAATAAATAAAAACCAACAAAGAAGAGTTTGCGAGAATTTGAAAAAAAAAAAATAGAGGGTAAAGAAGAGTGACTAAGAATAGAAAAAAAAAATGGATAGAAAAATAAATCTCATAATTATTTATCCAAACAATATTTTAAATAATCTTTATTATTATCCTTTCCAAACGTTAGGATATTTGTAATATGCTCCACTTAAAAGAAAAGTAAAAAGAAGAGGGAGAAAATATGGTTTTCTTCTTCTTCATACAAACAAATCCTCCATCTCCATAACTCAGTTCTACCTTCTCTCTTACATATCAATATTTTTTTCTTCCCCAATCAAGAATTTGAGACCGCCGTTGTGCTCACGGCGGAGAACAACAGAAGACCACTGATTAGAATTTCGTTTCGGTAAGTTTGAATTTTAGGATTTTTGCTAGTTAAAATTTGGGGTTTTGAGAATTTAAGGAATTAATGGTGAAATTAAAGATTTTCTCTTACTCTGTCACTCCTCAATTTCATGTTTTCGGGTTTAATTTTGTTTATTACTTCAATTTCGTTTTTAGGGTTTTACAAAATGGGGGAGAACGGTACCTCTTAGGTGTTTTGGCATTCCTAAGGTTTTATTGGAATTAGGTTGACGTGTAACATCACCCTTAGGTAAGGGAGATTTCTTTAAATTTTACTGGTTGTATTGTATTAATGAAAAGTTTAATAAAATGAATGATGAGTATGTTTGTGATATATATACGTGTTATATGTGATATGAGAGTATGTTTGTGATATATATACGTGCTACTACATGTGATATGAGAGTATGATTGTGATATATATACGTGCTACATGTGATATGAGAGTATGATTGTGATATATATACATGCTATATGTGATATGAGAATATGTTTGTGACATGTATACGTGCTATATGTGATATGAGAGTATGTTTGTGATATATATACATGATATATGTGATATGAGAATATGCTTATGATATATATATGTGCTATATGTGATATGATATTGTGAGCACTTATGGAAACCTTGCAGTGTAAATTGTTTTGAAATAGATTGACTGAAATAGATATCTTTATATCATTGAATTTCTAAATTGTATGGTTGGTTTGTATGGTTTGAAGGATAAAGGATGTACCGTTTTAAGTGAATTATGATTGCATAGTAGTTGAGAATTTTAGATGTTGGACTGGACATTGTGAATTGCATGATGTTGGTTTGATTCTAGAAACCCTAAGTAGAATAGTGTGTATGAAATATTTGTTGAATGATAGATTTGATGTACTGTGTAGAATAATATGTATGGAATTATGGATAGGCGTAATAGGGTATCCAGACTTCCAAGATGTTCCTAGTCATATAGACGAAGACATATGTGGTGGGAAGTCGATGGAGACACAACATAATGTTAATCCTATGCATGTGTTGCTCTGATGAGAGGTTGAAAAAAAAAATATTTTAGGCTTTGGGCCATGAAATTTTAAGGGTCTGGGACCCCAAATATTTCTCATCAGGTGTCTACCTTACTGGTCTGAATTTCATATAGTTTTCCGGATAGTGTTAGTCTTGTTGTGTGTTGTGATTGTAAAATGCTAGATTCTTCGGTGAGTCTAGTTTTAGAATGTTTGTGAAAGAATAAGTGTCGTTTGCAATGTTACACTGTTCTACATATTTAATCAAATAGTAGTTTACCCTTGCTTTTATTGTGTACTTGATCTTTTGGGATCCTGCTATGATCGTGTTATACACGTGAGCAAATTCCAAATCTTCTGCAGGTGGTAGTAAGACCCAGTGATTTGAGAAATGGAGTAGAAACCTTCTAAATTTGAAGGAATTATTTTGTGTTATGTAATTATGTATAAAACATTCGTGTAATTAGAACTTTTGACGTATGATGTTTTTTTTTTCTTTTTCTTTTTTCTTTTCAACTATTATGGATATGTAAACTGAATTATTATACCTCTCATAGGTGAAAAAGTAATTTTCTTCCTTCATTTAGTAGAAATTTTAAATAGAATTTTTTGGTTGTTACCATATTCCCAATATATATATATATAACGCGTAATTCACTCCACAACAACTCCTTTTGATGTTATTTTAGCCATTGTTTCCATATAAATTCTATCAAACTTTTCAGTGGAGATTTGATGTTAAAAAATAAATATGGTATAGTTTTATTTTACAAACCATCTTGTAAGATGAGAAGAGATTTACTGAAACATTATAATTTTATCATAGATTTGGTTGATGTAATATTTCTAATAAAATCATTATATTGTAAAATGAATATCCTCGTTATATTGAATATGGGTGAAATAATAAATGCAACACTATATTATAAAGTAATTATGTTTATAATTAAATTTTACTATCAGATAAGAGATATTTTTTACTAATTTTCATGGATTAGTTATTATTATTATTATTATAATTTACAAACAAACATATCCTAAAAATATAGCTAATTCTTCGTTATAATTAATATTTATTATGAAGTCTATAATTATTTATATAATATATATATATATATATATATATATATATATATATATATTACTTTGAATTATACATTAATTAGTGTGATCTTAAGATTCAACTTGTTTAATGTATAATAACCCGACAATCGTTATAAATGGGATGTTCATTTATTTTGAAGTTTGGCTTCCAAGACTTAATTTCTTATAATTGTACACATTAACTTATCTTCAAACAATAATAATCTATAATATAAAGAAGGGAAGTATATAATTAATAGACATAATAATAAATGGACAAAATAATGGAAGTTATAACCAATGTAATTTATATTAGCAAGTATTTGTAAAAATAACATTATTTTTAAAATGCCTTTTGTCATTTTTTATTTTTCTTTAAACTCTTAGCTTATGTGATTATTCCTCCAAATATTTGAGAATTTATTATAGATGTGGAATATGATAAAATTTGGAAGTTTATAAATAAGCAATGTGATGCATCTTCATCAAGGAGAACTTTGAGATTTTTCAAGTGAATTTTAATATTTTGATTAATGAGTTTTAAGCAGGAGAAAATTCAATCAATTTCATTTTCAGTGATAGAAAGTTATATTTAAAAGTCATAAAAAAACTAAAATGTTTAACTTTTGAATAATTTGTTTGATATAAAAAACATTGCACAATTATGACATTAAAAATACAATTAATGGGCCATGGGTCCACGACCCGTTTCACTCCTATCCATTGATGGGAAATCAGCCCTATAAAAAAAATATAAAAATAAAAGGAGAGAGAAAAGGTTTTGATTTCGGAAAATTGAGAAGATATAAAGAGGGTCACTTGCCATTACCAACATAACAGCGTAGTCTTCTTGTCTTGTCTCCTCAATCTGTTCACAGTAAAATCTTCATTACCGTTTCATTCAGTACTCAATCGCAGGCATAAACCTAATATTATTGGTACGTATGACTCATCTTTTCCTCAATTATTCTCTGTCCCTCACTTTATGCCACCTTCGTTTCTTCTGACAACCTAATTTTCCTTACCCGCGGTCCAAAAGGATTCAGTATTGGGACATTCTCATCCATAGAACTTCTTTGTCGGTCAATTTTGAGGCACATTGTATTGGGTATCCGCTTCTGTGTGATTTTTTAAATTCCAATTCATGGGCAGCCAAAACTTGTAAAATTTATTTTCATGATGTTATCTCTGGGGTTCCCAAAATACTGATAATTATTTACTCTTTTGATTGCACTAGTGTGTGGAGGGTTCTCTACTTAGATGTCAAATAATCCGCAATTTCCAGGTTTACAGGTAGAGTATATCTTGAACTTCACAATCTTGGTTTTCCTCTGCCCCTTTTCTTTTAATGCGTTTTGTTTTTGGTATGATAGCCTCTTCGGCCTCCTATTACTGGTTCCGTGGATCCTCCCCGCAATTATGCTCCACCTATGCCTGTTCAAGTAATGCATTTTTTTCCTAACTGTAATAGTATTGGCTCTATGTCAAATCATTATTTATCTAAAGGAACCTATCTGATTGTGCAGTTCCGTCCTGTTGTTCCTGCCCAGCAGCCACAGCAGTTCATTTCCATTCCTTCTCAACATTACCAGCATCATCAACATCAACCTGTTGGTCCTGGTGGTGTTCCAATGATTGGTGTTGGAATGCCTCCCCAAAATCAACAGCCCCAATTTTCTCAACCAATTCAACAGTTACCCCCAAGACCTAGTCCGCAGTTACCCACCCCGCCACAGGCAATTCCAATGCCAGTTGCTCGCCCTAACATGCACATCCCATCCGAAACAATGACGCCTCAGCCTGATACTCAAGCTCCAAATGGTTACGCACCAGGTTTAGGTGGTCCTGGAATGCCACTTTCTTCATCTTATACCGTAAAGTCCTGCCCTTTATTGTATTTGTAGTGGATAAGCTAAAACTCCTATATGCGAATGCTGATTTGAAGATTGCATTTACACAGTTTGCAGCATCCACTTATGGTCAAGTGCAGACTAATTTTAATTCTACCGGCCAATTCCAACCTGTTCCTCAAATTCAAACTCTCACGGGTTCTTCGTCTCAGGCCATGACCATTGGGGCAACTATTCAGAGCAATGGTGGAGGACAACCTTTAGTTACAACTGTCATGCCTTCCGTATGAATCTTACCTATCTTTGACATAACATGGATTCAGTGTTTTGCCTCATATATAAGTAGAATTTCATGCAGATTTAATTTCTGTCTTTCAGGCTACCATTGTCCAGCCACAGCTTGCCAAAAATGGCCCTACAGATTGGATTGAGCATACCACTGCTACTGGAAGAAAGTAAGTGATTTGAATTGTGTGTTTGCATTCCTAGGTTATAATGCTGTTGATATTGCATATTCTTTAAATAATTTATGGACATTATGGTGTGTAGTTGGACCTATGTAGCCGACCCTATCAAGTGGGAAATGGCCTTGTGTTTTTTATTACTTGGTGAATGAAAAAAATAATGTATACTGGCGTTAAGAATTTAGTATTTGAGGTACTAAAGATTTCTAACTGTACACGGGTTGGATTTTGACTGAGGCATGGCACTCGTTGACTGAGATTTTAGTTGTATGGATGACTCCTTTCTGGTGCCGTGAATATGGGTTGATTAAAGAGACTCCGATGTTCAAGTCAAAAAATATTTTGCCAAATTAATGATAAGTAATAGTTGCATTAGTTAGTAAGACATGTGTTGTTACTTGATTGGATGAGTCATGCACGAAAATGACAACAATGTGGAGGTTTTGTGTTGCAATAATGACAATTTATATGTTGGCCAAGGTTCCATTTTTTTTACTTTTTGTTCAAAGGTGGACAAGTGGTTTTGCCTCTCTAAAAGTGTCTGTATATCTTGGAACAAGGGGTGAAAATGACACACTGCCAGTAGATTTCAATTGCCATGATTGCAATGTGAAATCCTGCAATGTCTGTGGTAGCTGCTGTAAGGCTTGGGAATCAACATCCAATCAAGAAATGACATGTGCTCCACTAACTGGAATATTTACTGCTAATCGTTACATTGCCAAAATTTCTGCTAGCTTGAGCCGTGTAGTCTCTTTGTAAATACCCAACATACCTCTGCCTGCTGCCCCATCTTAGGCTTACTGCAAAGGAAGACTGCTGTCTGTACAACTTGGATCTCAGTCGTCAGATGCCACACAACAGTCAGTCATTATTGAGTACCTCAGATGCCAAAAGTAGTGTAGTATCATGGTTAAATGTAAACTAGGGTTTGATAGAGTGGGATTAGCTTTTAATTTAGTGAAAGTATGTTAATATTGCTATTCATTTTGGGTGCAAATAATTGAGCTTGAAATATTTTTTACGCGATGTTTGGTTGTAGTGATATCAACTCTGGGGGGGGGGGCGGCTCACCCACACCCACATATACACAAACTCATATATACTTATACATTATATACATTGACCCCGTGCTTGGTATCAATTATTAAATTTTTGAGACGTTTGTTTGATAATTTGGATTAAATCTCTAATTTCTTTGTGTAACGCATATTTGCTTGATACAAAAAACATTTATAGGCTTCTAGGTATAATTGTGTACAAGTTTCAATGTATAATTTTTCAATTAATTTTGCAGATTTTATTACAATAAGAAAACTAAAGTATCTAGCTGGGAGAAGCCTTTTGAATTGATGACGCCTATAGAGGTTAGTCATTGGATTGATTTTGTTATCATATTGTTAAATGACTTGTTATTCATTCTCCTGGATCTTTTATTTATTTGGTTCTGCCAAAAGTTTCAATGTATATCTCTCTCTTGTTCGATTTACAATATTAGTTGAGTCAACTTATTCAAGTATTGTTATGTGCTTTCTATTTGTCCAAATCTGGTGAAAATAATCTGCTCCATTAGCTCATTCATTACTGAACTGATTTTCTCTCAGGCAGGCAACCATCAATCTTGACTTTTACGTCTTGTTGTAAGGTCAGTGTTGTGATAAATGCCGGTTGGGCTGTCTGATATCAGCTTTGTTTGTTTTCCTTGGGTGATTCTCTAGAAGAATTTTCTGTTCCAATTTTTTCAGTCTAGAATAGAATTTCCGTTCTATAAATCAGAAAGAATGATAAGTGTGGATGTTGTCCTACGTTTTTTTTCATTGTCCAATCTTAAAAACAATCTTTTTTTTTCATTGAGGATTATTTCTTTATGGTTGGGGCATTTAATAACGTTCATTAACTTCTTACTCATGATTGCATATGTTTGTTACTTTGAGAGGTTATGTTATTTGTTTAGGATTGCTTTGGAAAAGAAAGTGCTGTTTCTTTACCCTTCTTGTATTTGTGGGCATCTTTTATACTTTTAAACGGATTTCTAAAGAATATGATCAGTGTTTCACTTTTAATTCAAAATGCATTGGTGGACAATATATAGATTATATTCTTATATTAATAAAGAAAATGGTAATAATTGACAGCTTATTCTATCCTTTTCTTTTTATAATAAAGTCTCAGTCGAATCAAGGTTGTTAAAATCAAGAGCCTACCTAAGATTAGGAGGTTCATAAATCATGGGATCATATAAATTATATTTTCAAATATATAAATAAGGCCAACGATCTTAACCTATCTAATAACTTTAATTTATGTAAATTAAACTTAAATTCACAAGAAGGTCAATCTACTCAAATTCAAAAGTCACAACTTAACAATTTCAAATATAAAAGACAATTCCTTTTTAGTAAAAATGGAACATATGGTAGATGTCTATTAGTATCACGTCAGACATTTCAAAGTTTTCTTTTTAATGCCTTTAGGACTTAATATCTTTCAATTTTACATTATTCAAATCTACATTTGTGACTCCCATAGCTTTAAGGTGCTTACAGGTACATGCTGTGCTACTCTATTGAGAGGTAGGACATGCTGTGGGTCTTTGCTGGTTGCTCTACCTACTATATTGCTTGAATGTTAGTAAATTCTATCATTGTATTATTGTCGTGATCATTAATTCCTTTGTCATGAATTTTCTCATGATCTATAAATGAGTGTATAGCAGCTAGTCATGTCACTTGATAAAATGTGCATCGAATGCTTCCAAGTCTTTGAATGACTTTTGGTACTTGCATCCTATTATCAGTTTCAAATATCATGGTTTAAAATAGATGAAGTGAATGTATTTGAGGCAATGTTTTTGTCCAAATTCGAAAAGAATGCTTCCAATTGTCATTTGTTTGGAACAACTGTATTGTAAGAAGATGGGTGTTGATCTTATTTCCCTTTTTGGTTGTATTGCTATGGCTCACACCTTAGAGCTTGGGTTTTCTGCTATGGCAGCAATCTGTTAAGTCGCCTTCTGTTTTTTCCATGGACTGTTTACTGGTGTGTGCTTTTAGGACCTTAGAAAGATTACTGTAAATAATATTTGTAAAAGAAATTTACAGGTGCATTTGTTTATGGACTTTTGGTATGAAATGTAAGGTGTAGTTACATAATGAAGATTCAGATGATCATGTGCACTACCTATGACTCCTTTAGTACTCCTTTCTATACACAATATGCTCATTGGGGAGGAGTGTGATTGGCAAGATGGACATTGACAACATTGCTGGTGAAATGGTTTGGTTCACTTGGATTTTTCTATTAATATTACGCAAGTAGGAAACATGAAAAAAGTGTCTAATCTTAGGATCTTAGAATGATTACTGTAGATGATATTTGTAAAAGAAATTTACAGGTGTATTTATTTAGTGGACTTTTGGTAGAAATGTAAGGTGGAGTTTCATAGTGAAGATTCAGATTATCATGTGCACTGCCTTTGATTCCTGTAGAACTCCTGTCCATACAAAGTATGCTCTGTTGGGAGGATTGTACATGGCAAGATAGACTTGATAAAGTTGCCAGTGAAATGATCTGTTTCACTGGATTTTCTGTGAACATTGTGAAAATAAGAAAATTAAAAATAAACAATGTGGAAGCTGACTACAATCAGCATTACTACTAAATAGAATTTTTGTTCTAATAGACATTTGTCACGCAGGTGTCATGATTAAAGGCTACTATCTAAGCAATATATGACTTCTGAAATTTATGTATATTCAAAAGTGATCAGCTTTTGGAAATACTCGATCATTTTTTATTTTCTGAATTCCATAACAGAAGCATATGGGACTGGAGTAATAGAAACTACAAATTCCATAAAACACCATTCACTTTTTGCTGCATAGAAATTTGAAAAATTTAACGAGAGTTGAATAGGTTTTGTTATAGTGCTTGTTTTGGGTTGGTTAGTTAGTCTTTTATCCTTTACCTTGCCCATTTATTTCCTGGATTTGATGTTCTTACTTTCTTTCACATTCTTACTTTATGATTATAAGACTTGAATTTCTAATTTCTATTACAATATGAAATAGTAATCTTTCATTTAGAATAAATCTCTTTATGAGAAATGTTCCACTAATTGGTTTCTTTTTATTTTGTTAGAGGGTGGATGAATCAACAAACTGGAAGGAGTATATTAGTCCCGATGGACGAAAGTGGGTGCTGGTTTCATTAATGTCTTTCTCCCTTCTATTTTTAATATTCATTTCTAATTTTTTTATTTAATGAATATTCTGTAGGTATTTCTACAACAAGGTCACAAAGGAATCCAAGTGGTTAATTCCTGAGGAATTAAAGGTTTCCACCATTGAAAACAATGCTGTTTCAAATATTCTTCCTCTTATTTCTACCTTTAGTTTTTAAACTCATTTTCTTTTTTCTTTTTTGCAAATTATTTCCTTCAAGTTGGCCCGTGAGCAAGTTGAAAAGGCAATTGTCAGTGGACCGCATTCTGAGGCATTACTAAATTCTCATCCTCAACCCTCTCCGGTCCCTTCTGTGGCAGAAGCAACACTCAATGCAGATAATTTATCTTTAGCCAGTCAAAGAGAACCATCAAGTCCTGTCTCAGTTGCTCCAGTTGTTACAACATCCATAAGTAATCTACAATCTGAGATGCCTTCTGGACCATCTACCTCTCCTTCTGCAACCCCTATAAATGGAACAAAAGTGGATGAACTTGAGGCACCTGTAAATACTGTCACACCATCAGATAGTAGCGTAGGAAGTGATAAAGCTGTTGTTACTGATATTAGCACTGCTATAACTCCAATGTATTGTCTATTCCACTAGTTTCTTGTTCAGTCTAGTTTAATTTTTGTATAGATGAATAACATTTTCATTGTGTGTGGTAAATATTGTAGGAGAGATGCTAGCAACGATTCAGGTCAAGATACCCTTGGTTCTGCAGATGGAGTTCCTGCAGAAGATAGAGAAGTACACTTTCTCATTGTTGTTTACTTATGTGTTAGATGAGTTTGTTTTTGTGTTTGTTTTCTGGTTCTTATCAGGCTGTGTTGTCTCAAATTTGGTAGGATGGTAAAACTGATTCAATAGGGGACAAAAGTAATCATGTAGCTGCAGAAACCAAGACACTTGAGCCAGAAACCATTGTTTTTGCAAATAAGATGGTATGAGAATGAAATATTAATATTTTATTTCTATCTGTATTATGTTCCTGGACTCTAATTATTTATCGTATTAACTTGTTAGGAGGCTAAAGATGCTTTCAAAGCACTTTTGGAATCTGTAAATGTTGGATCTGACTGGACATGGGATCGGGTAGAGTAATTTCGTTGATATATTTTGATGTCACTTACCTCTATATGCAATTTTCAATAATTTAAATGTTTCTTTCTCCCGATTATGTGATTTTCCTGACATTGGCATTTCTATGCTTTAGGCAATGCGTTTAATAATTAATGATAAAAGGTATGGTGTCTTAAAAACACTTGGTGAGAGGAAGCAAGCTTTCAATGAGGTAATTCTTATATAATTTTAAGAGGACACTTTTTCCTTTTACGTTTGTCTTGTGTTCCCTTCTCTTTTTCCCTATTATGTTCATGTTGCATTAGCGTGAATATTTTATTTTGTAAGGTGCAAGTCTCAATTGTTTTGTTCTATTTGTAAAGTACTGGACCAGTCCAATCTGATTTCATATTTGTTTATCAAGTGTATAATGGAGAAGGAGAAACTGTGTGAAGATAATTCTGTTTATGTAATTGTGTTTGTCGCACCTGTGGTGTGTCTGTTGCTACAGCATACTGGAACAGCTAAAAATCTATCCTTGTTCACATATTTGAGTTATTAGAAATTTTTCCTTACATTTTCTTCATTTTCCCTCCATTTTTGGCATCAGAAACTATGTAGGGTTTGAAATTCTTCCTTTCTTATTATTCACACAAGAACGTTTAAAACCTACCTTTGTTTTGAGTCAATCCATCACCCAGTGCATATTTCTCCAACTGTTCATTAACACTGTCAGCTACTACCCTCCTATGGGTCTCTGTTCATGTCCTATACTGTTTAGACACCCTCTGTTCCCTTGCCACTACTCATGCACAAATCTGTTACATATTTGTCTCTATAGGCCCTATGTGCAATTCCTGGTTGTGTTGTGTTCTTTACACTCATGGTATTTTTTTTAGTTTTTTTTTTTTTTTCATTTAATGCCATTATGGTCCTTTTTGGTTGTGATTGTGATGTAACTCTTAATTACTGATTATAAACATTTTCATTTTTGAGCATTTATGTGATCGATAAAATATTCATATTGTATCTATAGTCTTTATATGATACGATTGCCTTCTCTGAACCTGCTATACCACTTTTGGGGTTGTTGGCCACTCAATGTTAATTATTCACAATTATAGTCATATCTAAGAGCAGCAACTGTCCTTAGAGCCTCAAATATCTGTCAAGTGGTGTAGATGTATGTTACATTGTACGTATGCTATAGAAATACAACCTATGAAATTATTTTTTAAATGTTTTCAAAATATATTTGACTTGTTAAAAAAAGGTTGAAATAAGGAATTTAAGTGCAGGTGGGGGTTACCTGTACTGGACACACTATCATAATTTCTTTTGGGATGTCATCTTTTTCCCTCATTCCCACCTTTTATTTAGGTCTGATTCTGATTTTGATCTAGAATGATTTCCCTTTTATGCCCACAATTCCCATTATTTCTTTTGATCAATCTATAATACTTCCCATTATCCTGATGAATTTTTAGGAAGGAAATTTTTACCTAAGTACTATTTTAACAACTTGTATAATAAGAATATATTTATGCAAGATTGTTATTGAGAGAATAGGTTAGTGGGGACTATCACATCCATGTTATGCATCCCACAAGGTTTATCTCTTTTAATTGCACGGGATGGGGATATTCTGTTCTTACTATTTTTCCTAATCTGAACTGTTTATAATGTGCTGGATGAATACATTACATGTTGGGAAGATGATAACATCGTCACTCCTTTTTATTTCAGTACTTAAATCAGAGGAAAAAATATGAAGCAGAGGAAAAGCGTATGAAACAGAAAAAAGCGCGGGAGGATTTTAAAAAAATGTTAGAAGTATGTTTATGTTCTTCCATGTTTCTTTATAGCTGTGTTTTATGTGGCTTCATTTTTACTTTTTTTTTTTGCTAATATATTAAATATGTTCCAGGAATCCACAGACTTGACTTCATCCACTAGATGGAGGTTTGTTTTTTCATGATATTTAAATTGTTTTTTTTTGTGAGATATTGCATGCAGTTAATATACTTTATGATATTATTCTTTGTCATTCTTCTTTTGGGCATCACACAGCAAAGCCGTGTCTATATTTGAAAATGATGAACGTTTCAAGGCTGTCGAGCGTGACCGAGATCGCAGGGATATGTTTGAAAGCTTCTTGGAGGAACTTCTGAACAAGGTGGATTTTACTACCTCATACTTCAACCATTTATACCTGTGGACATTTGCCTTTGATTGAAATACTTGTTAATGTTAAACATGCTGACCTTGCTTCTGGGGAAATTCTTTTGATAGACATACATGTTATATCTATGGATGATATATAATGTTGTTAGTCTAGTGCCTTGCATTGATAAATTCTCTGTTTTTCACTTTTTACTAAGGTTTATTTTCGGGGATGATCAAAATTTGGTTATTGTGAAGTGAAAAACTTTTTTCTCAAGGATAAGTTGATTTGAGTCAGAGTGATGGCCAGTGTTATCAGACTTGGAAAGTACTTGAAATAGATAATAGGAAAATAGAAGATATTTTTGAGAGCTTGAAACTTTTCTCTTGTGTTATCTTATTTATAGAGGATAAAGATACATATTCTGAGATACAATAAATAGGGGAAAATGATTAAACCTAGAGAAGATAAACAGATACATTTTAGGAACTAGGTCAATAGTTAGATATAACTAATTTAATAAATACTTAACACTCCCCCTCAAGCTGGAGCATACAAATTGTATGTACCAAGCTTGAAACAAATGAATTCTATTCGAGACCCTCTCAAAGATTTTGTTAATGCGTCTGCAAGCTGATCATTGGAACCAACAAACTCAGTACAGATTTCTTTAGACAACAACTTCTCCCGAACAAAGTGACAGTCAATCTCAATATGCTTAGTCCTCTCATGAAATACTGGGTTGGAAGCAATGTGGAGAGCAGTTTGATTATCACAATACATCTTCATAAGTTGAATCTCACAGAAGTTCAGTTCTTGCAAGAACTGTTTTACCTATACAAGTGAGAGACGCCATTGCCCTATATTTAGCTTCAGCAGAGGATTGGGCAACAACGTTTTGCTTTTTGCTTTTCCATGAAATGATGTTACCTCAAAGGAAAACACAATAGCCTGTAGTGGATTGCCTCTCCATAAGAGATCTAGCCCAGTCAACATCACAGTACCAAAAAATTTGGGTATTTCCCTTATCTTCATATAACAAACCTACCTTGTCCTGGAACTCTTTTAATGTATCTTAGGATTCGAATGATAGCATTCTAATGATCAACACAAGGGGCTTGCATAAATTGGCTGATAACACCAATTGCAAATGACAAATTTGGTCTAGTAATAGTCAAATAGATAAGTTTCCCAGCCAGTCTTCTATATCTTTCTGGGTCAGAGAAAACTTCACCTTGTCCTGCCATTAATTTTAAATTTGGATCCATAGGACTATCCACAGGTTTGCAATCAATCGTACCTGTCTATTTTAGAATATCTAGAGCATATTTTCTTTGAGGAATGACAACACCTTCTCTTGATTGAACCACTTTAATACCTAAGAAATATTTTAAATTTCCAAGATCTTTGGTCTGAAAATGACTACATAAGTGGTCTTTTAGCTGAGATATTTTAGCAGCATCATTCCCTGTGATGACAATATCATCAACGTACACAATAAAACACTGAATGATCTGTTTTGCTTCGTTTTAATCCAAAAGCTTGAACAATAGAGTTGAATTTTCCAAACCAAGCACGTGGAGATTGTTTTGGGCCATAGAGAGATTGACGTAATTTACAAACCAAACCAGACTCCCCCTGAGCTACAAATTCAGGAGGTTGCTCCATATAAACTTCTTCTAAGTCACGGTGCAAAAAACATTTTTAATATTCAATTGATGAAAAGACCAATGATGAATGACGACCATGGCAAGGAACAGGCGGACAATGGTCATTTTGGCTATAGAAGAAAAAGTATCACAATAATCAAGTCCATATATATGAGTGTACCCTTTAGCCACTAACTTGGTTTTGAGACGATCAACTTGACCATTAGGCCCAACTTTAATAGTATAGATCTAACGACAACCAACTGTTTTCTTCCCAAAGGGAGAGGAACCAACTCCCATGTTTTGCTATGATCAAGAGCCTGCATTTCAGAAATCATGGTTTGTCACCATCCAGGATGATCAAGTGCTTCTGTCATATTTTTGAGGATCGTAATAGAGGATACAAAAGAAATAAAAGAAAAATAGGAAGGAGACAACCTATGATAGCTAAGAAAAATGTAAACGGGATGAGGATTACGAGTAGAACGAATACCTTTGCGAATGACAATGGGCCAACTGGAGTCATCGTTATCAGGAGTTATTAGAAGATGATTGAGAAGGACCTGTTATGGGTGACTCATCTTGGGTAATGTAACAGTTTTGGGGATAAGGATGCAACACAAGATACAAATGAATTAGTCCCAAGATAGTATAAGCCTCCAGATTCATGTCCTTCTCCAATCAGTTGACCTGTACCACGTTCCAGTATAACAAAATAATTGACATTAAAGATTATTGAGCAATTCAATGATTTGGTTAATTGGCTTACGGAAACAAGACTGAATGGAAAAAAAGGAACACAAAGAACATTTTGTAAGTTTAAAGAAGGAGAAATGGATACTTGACCAATCCCTTTAGAGGCTACTTTAGATCCATTGGCTATAGATATGAGTTGGGAGGTTTTAGGAAATGATAGAGAGGAGAATAAAGAGGTATTACCAGACATGTGGTCAGAAGCACCTGAATCAATAATCCATGGATTTTGATTTTCCACAAATTGCGAATGCAAGCGGTTGACGAATTTGGAGTTGTAGATGCTTGAGCCAGACTGGTTGATTTCATCCTTAAATATTCTTGATACTCTTTGTTGAAAGTCCCACATCGCCTACCTCATATCATTTGGTATGATTTAAATACATGTTAGGCTACTCCACATATTGCCAATTGGTTTTATGTTGGAACCTTAACATGGTATCAGAGCCAAAGCCTAACATCTTTCCGGTTATTGTCATGGGCCAAAAGTTGCCCTTTAGTTGGGTCAAAAGTACCCTTTGCCTGGTCCGGCGGGCTTCGTTGGAGGGGGTGTGTTGAAAGTCCCACATCGCCTACCTCATATCATTTGGTATGATTTAAATACATGTTAGGCTACTCCACATATTGCCAATTGGTTTTATGTTGGAACCTTAACACTCTTCATGAAAGAACTTGGACTCAACAACTTCAGATTTTGAAGTATTGGTTGTCTTATCAGGATAGCCATGCAGAGCAAAGCAATTTTCCTTAGTATGACTCATTCTTTTGCAATGAGTGTACTGAGGACGTCCTCTACTACCACGTCCTCTATTGTCGTGATTACCTCTTCCACGAGTAGAAATCATGACGGAAGATTCAACAAGTTCTTGACTAGTTTTAACTTTGATTGATGGAACATGAAGTAGCCTTGTGATCAAACTTTCCATAGGAGGAATAGGAGGAACTTCATGTCCAGTTAAAATTTGATCTCTAACATGATTAAATTTTGGATTCATAGCCCTAAGAATCATAACCATATCGAATTTATCCAGCTTCGTCTTGTTTTGCTCTAATGAATCTGCCTCAAGGAACATTTTTAATTCTTTAACTGTTGATTGAGCTTCAGCAACAAAGGACATCATATTGTTATCCTCTTGCTTAAGGGAGGCTAGTCTATTAGCAGAATCATAGAGACGTCGAACATAATTAGCAAAGATATTTTGGCTTTTTTTCCAGAAAGAATTACATGTTTTGAAGGAACGGAGAATGCTCAAAATATTTGGTTCAACTTATTGTCATAATTGAGCACAAGGTTGATAATCAACTTTCTTCCATTGAGTAGCCTGATCTACTGGTTTTGTACTTCTATCGTCTTGTAGATGGTGATGAACCCCTTGTCCTAGAAACTAGAGTTCAACAGAAGAGGCCCAAGACAAGTAATTTTTTCCATTTAATTTTTCAGTTGTTATAGTAGGAGTCCCAGAAAAAGATACAGATGTTGCAGGTCCTGGCATTTTTATTCAGGAACCAAGAAAGGACTCTCAAGAAAAAAATATCCAACAGAATGTTTGGAGAGAGAAGACCGAGAACAATGAGAGAATACCAAGAAACAATGTCGCTTTGCTTGAACACAGAACAATTAGCGTTTTGTGACAGTGTATATGAAAGGGGTTACCAAACTTTTGGAACCTAAAACAAAGGGTAGATCCAGCTCTAGGACGACGAGGCGAGCCAGATGGTGGTGGTCTGGAGCGAAACGAACACTGGGAAGGCAGCGCGTGAAGCACATGCGTGGAGGAAGCAGCGGACGAAGGCGACGCGTGGCGACATGTCTAACAGAGATCAGGTTTCAGGACAACGAGGCGAGTTAAATGGTGGTGGTCTGGAGCAAAACAACCACCGAGAAGGCGACGCGTGAACCACCCGCGCGGAGGAAACAGTGGACGAAAGCAGCACGTCAAACAAAGATGGCTGAAGCGACTACCGAGGTTGGGTTGCACTCCTCGAGGCGATCATAACCCACGAACTGCGAGTGAAACGGTGCCGGCGGACGGCGGTGGACGATGAAGTAAAAGGAGAGACAGGCAGAGCGGGATGAACTCGCTCTGATACCAACTTGAAATAGATAACAAGAAAATAAAAGATGTTTTTGAGAGCTTGAAACTTTTCTCTTGTGATTTTTTATTTATAGGGGGTAAAGATGCAAATTCTGAGATATAATAAATAAGGGAAAATGATTAAACCTAGAGAAGATAAACAGATACATTCTAGGAGCTAGGTCAATAGTTAGATACAACTAATCTAATAAATACTCAACAAAAGTGAATAAAAAAAGTAAGGCGAGGATCATAACTTGACTTGCAAGAGTTATTCATATGCAAAAAGCTATATTTTTAGACATTCAAAGAAATTAAAAGTTTTATGGACAAGAAAAATAACTCATGATAAATAAAAAATATTAAGATCCAATTCATAACAACTCAAAATAGGTTCACAAATCATAAAATAATCATTATAACTAATTAATTCATAATTTCTTGCGACAAATATGAATATAGCTGAACACTTAAAATCTAAGTGGCAGAAAGAACACATGAATATAATATGAAGAAAAATTATGGAACAAAACACTGAGAAGAAGTATCTTTTAAATTTTATATCTTATGAAAATAATAAAATAAGAAGTATCACTGAGAAGAAAACCTCTAAACAGCCAGCAAGCAAAGCAACAGGGAAGGCTGAAACACCCTAAACCCCCTACAGTTTGTGTGATAGTCTGCGCAGACTGATGACAATGATGACAGTGTGTTTGATCGCTTGGGTCTCCCTTATTCTTATGATCATGTGAGTCGAATAATAAAGGAATTGAGAGTTGATGAAATATCAAAGTTTCCATTCTTACTCTGTGTAGTGGAACCATGGGTGGAGTGTTTTGGGTTGTAATCAATGCATTAAATTAAAACTTAAAAATCTTTTGAGTTGCTTTTAGTAAATATGTTCTTATATATATATATATATATATATATATATATATATATTATATTTTTTATCAGGAACGAGCAAGGGTACAGGAGGAACGGAAGCGAAATGTAACAGAATACAGAAGGTTTTTGGAATCTTGTGACTTCATAAAGGTAATTAGTTATTTTTGGCTCAAAATTCTGAAGATTTTTCTAAGAAGTTATTCTCTAATCCATCACTTTCTTCATAGGCTAATACACAGTGGAGAAAGGTTCAAGAGCGCTTAGAAGCTGATGAAAGATGTTCTTGTCTTGAAAAAATCGATCGCTTGGAAATATTCCAAGTAATTGTCATTTTTTTATCTTTATCTTATTCACAATTGAAATTATACGTCATTCTAGAGCGGCATCTTTATTATTGAAATTTTGTCTATCTAATTTATATTTTTCCTTTTAGGATTATTTACATGATTTAGCAAAGGAAGAGGAAGAGCAAAAGAAGATACAAAAGGTGCTATTATGTTCATCCTCTATAGGACTCTATATAACTCTGCCTTCTGCTTCCTTTGTTTATTGCTTAATATTATCATATCTGTTCTCAAACATAATAGGAAGAATTAAGGAAGACAGAACGGAAAAACCGTGATGAATTCCGCAAATTGATGGAAGAACATATTGCTTCAGGCATTCTTTCAGCAAAAACACACTGGCGTGATTATTATACAAAGGTTAACTGTCCATTTTGTGGTTATTTATTTTTACTTTTTGTTATATGATTTAAACTATGTTAGGTTACATAATATTACCTTGTTGAGTTGTTTCTATTTCTTATTTGTTGTTTAGCATCAACATATTTATTATGACAAATAGAGATGATAATTTGTGACTGGTCTTGTAGGTGAAAGATTTACATGCCTACGTAGCAGTGGCATCAAACACATCGGGTTCAACTCCTAAAGACTTGTTTGAAGATGTTGCTGAAGAGCTAGAAAAACAAGTGAGTATGCTAATCTCTCTTAATGGTTTGTTCTGAATTTTGTCTACTAATTTCATGGGTAAAATTGATTCTCCCTTTAGGATCTCATCTCATGCATTATATATATATATATATATATATATATATATATATATATATATATTTTATTGTTAAAACATAAAAAGTTTTATTATTTGTTGAATCTTTTCATTTCGCTCCCATTAAATCACGAGGCTGCTCATCTTTAGTTGAAAGCATGTATATCCATAAGGATTTACATTAACCTAGGTGGGTTAAAATATCCCACATCTTAAGATCAAATTAGGTTCTAATGAGACTCCATTACTCAATACACATCTTGTTATACTGAAAACGTTGCCATTGAGCAGAAGTGGTTCTCATAAAACGGCATTCTTCACTTTATTTGTATATTACAGTATCATGAAGAAAAAAGTAGAATAAAAGATGCAGTGAAATTGGCAAAGGTATGTATCAGTCTTTTGTGGTTTCCGCTTAACAAATCTTCTCTGATGGATGTGATGTTATCATGCTTCTCAGATCACATTATTGTCAACCTGGACGTTTGAAGACTTCAAATCAGCTTTATCAAAAGACATTGGCCCTTCATCAATATCTGATTTCAACTTAAAGGTAGGTAAATGGGTGGAATCTATGACTTTTGCTTCTGTTTTATGCATTTCAATATTAAATTTCTTTACATGTCTCGACACTATTACAAGTTTGTTTATTACAATGATTGGTGGCTCAGACTTCGCATTTGCCACTAGTTTTGGTTCAATATCCTTTAGTTTATGTTTTTTTTTTTCCTTTTCATGCTTTTATTATGAAATTCAATGTTTACCTGGATAGATAAATGCGGATAGGGGGACCCACTAGTTTTGCTTTGTTATTCTTTAGTTTATGGTTTTTTATTTCATTGCTTTTGTTATGAAAATCTGTCTATATCTACATATATTGGGAGTATATTAGCTGATAGGCGCTAATCTTGACCATTCAATCTTTACCTGGATAGATTAATGCTATGATAGGGAGACTAACTCCTTAACAGAAAATGAATTTTGGAGTTCTTGAAAGTAGAGATGTAAATTGTGTACCTTTTTCAGCATACCTCAGGTTTTCATTTTGTGACTATTGTCGCCGCTACAGCATTAGAGGTTATCTGATTCACGGTAGTACAATCATATGAAGCTTGAAAACCCCAATTTACCCCCATGTTGCATTGATACTGTGCCTTTGAGGGTGAGATGATTTCTTGTAATGCTTTAGACGGTCATCATAAAACTCTCCTATGTAACAAACATGGAACACTCACGATAATATTCTCACTCAACACAGGAATTAATTGAAAAAAAAGGTTGGAAAACTGGTTATTATCATAATTGGAGAAATCTAAAGTTTTGTGTCTTTGACATATCCAAGGTTGTCTTTTCTGAATTGCTTACCACTGTCCTCAATATTTGGTTCACTCATAAGTGACCATAAATGGTGTCATATTTCTGAAAAAGATTAAGCTTCTTAGAGTTTGATTCTAATTGTTGAAAGTCCCACATCGCCTACCTCATATCATTTGGTATGGTTTAAATACATGTTAGGCTACTCCACGTATTGCCAATTGGTTTTATGTTGGAACCTTAACATGGTATCAGAGCCAAAGCCTAACATCTTTCCGGTTATTGTCATGGGTCAAAAGTTGCCCTTAACACTAATAATTTTCAGTTTGGAATATAATTTATATATGCATGTTTGGTTGATGCTTTGCTATCCTGCAGTTAGTGTTTGACGAGCTACTTGAACGGGTGAAGGAGAAGGAGGAGAAGGAAGCTAAGAAGCGTAAACGACTAACAGATGATTTCTTTCATCTGCTATATTCTACCAAGGTGCAATATCATGCACATCGATGTCTATGTTACGTTATATTGTAATGGTTGGGAAATAAGAAATATTATATATGTTTTTCTTTTGTCTACTTCACTGCAGGACATTACTGTGTCTTCAAAGTGGGAGGAGGGTAGACCACTTGTTGAAGAAAGCCAAGAATTCAGGTCTGGATCAATGATAAATTTAAACGTCCTAAATAAATGTGTTTCATCTTCTCTAATGTTTCCAAAACTAAAGTAATTGAATTGTTGAAGGAAGAGGTTTATGTAATGTTTCAGGTCCAATTAGGACTAACTCATGGTTTTATTTATACATGTATACTTTACTATCCATACATACATACACAAACATACAAATATCTCTAATATTATCAAATTGCATCATGCTACATAACAGAAGTAAAACGATTATATCTTACACCTTATAAACATCACTAATTCACTACTTACGATATATCTAAAGTGGAAATGTAGTAAAAAATGTCTCAATATTAAAATGAAAAATACCATAAAATAGTTTGGGTAAGATTTCAAAATCAATTAACCCATTTCGCGGGCAGAGTAGCTAACCACCCTTGCAAGTTGAAATTGCAAGGATTTAAGTTGCATAGGAATATTTGAATATTATTTGCATCATGTTAGAAAAAGCAAAATGTTATCCTTATTTATAGTTGTAGGGTTGTACAATGGTAATACATGAAATTGGAAATTTTAATCAATGATATAGGGAATAGGAAAAACAATTAATTAAAAATGAGGATGCTGACTTTCCCAAAATTTCATGCACTAATTACGCGAATGTCTCTATTAAACTCAAATACTGGCATTTAGATACTAGAGGTTGAAATCATTGTCCAATGAGGTGATCGAAATTTTAGCAATTGATGAATTGCAAACTAGACAGAGCAGTCCCTCATGTTGACATTGGGGTGAGAGATAATTGTGATGGTCAATGGTAGGTCGTATTCTAGGTTCGGAATAGGTGATGGGATAATGAGTAGATGACAAAGATTACTTGATGACGAGTGAAAACTAGAGGCAAGTAAGAAATAATGTGGGACATGGCCAAACTGCAAAAAGGTAGGATGAAGTAAATCAAACATGTGGCAAGACATGCTACAATAATGCCAATACGAGGAAAGATAAAAGTGTAACAATAATAACGGAATATGGAACAATTGATGTTGCGATTAAAAATACTCAGATGTATAACAAACGTGTTAAATCTTAACTGTTCATTAACCTTTAGAGTTGTTGAAATATGATGTTTTTCTATATTTCCTTAGACTAGAGTTAAGGATTTGGTCTGAGGTCCATATCCTCTCTATTGTATCTCTTTTATCTATAAATATAATGTAACAGTGTCTTTTGACATTGTATTGGAAATTCTAAATAAGTTTCTCAAGTTAGTATCAGAGCGGGTACGATCCCGCAGTGATTTCCTGTCATTCCTGTCATCTCCGGCCACCGTGGGCCGTAGTCCGCCATTGCCTGTCGCTGTCTGCCGCCGTCCCCCGTTGACCACCATGTCAATTTGGTCCAATGAAGGTAGGGTTTGGTGCGCCTTGACCACCTGCAAGTCGCTCCTCCGTCAGCTGTCCCATGCGTTGTTACGCGCGGTCGATCCAGAGGGTCGTCTCAGGCGCTAGTTTCCCACACGTCGCCTTCTAGTGGCCGGAATCAAGGCCAATTACCCTCGTTCGACTCGCTGGCGCCCTCCGAGTGTAGTGCCCTTATTTTTCTATTTTGAGAACTTTGGAAGATAGGTCACGTGGGTACCCTATTGGTTAGGTTTATCTTTCATCTCTGTTTCAGATAAATGGCTTCATCTAGTGGTTTTTTTTTTCCTGCTACTATAAAAGGTCGTCCTTAATGTTCCTATTACAAGAAGATGGGACACGCAAGAAAATTGTTATTCCTTACACGGTTTTCCTGCCAGGAATACCACTTCCCATGTTTCTAAGTCTGAAAAACTGGATTTGAAAATCTCTTATGAGGAGTATCAAAAGTTTTTGAAGTTCAAATCAGGAAAATTTAACAGTTAGGATCAATCTTCTTTCATGCCTAGTGTTTCAGCAACATGCATTTCTCAATCTGTGGAAGGTTAAAACCTATGAATTCTTGATTCAGGTGTCTCTGATCATATATCTGGTAATAGTTTCTCATTTTCCTCCATGTCCTATCCCAAAAGTCCTCACCTGATTTCTTAATCTGTGGAAGGTCAAAACCTATGGATTCTTGATTCAGGTGTCTCTGATCATATATCTGGTAACACTTCCTCATTTTCCTCCATGTCTTATCCTAAAATTCCTCACCTAATTACTGTGACTAATGGATCTAAAGTAAAATCACAAGGAATTGGCCATGTTCCTTTAATCTTTTCTTTGAATTTAAATTCTATTTTTTTCATTTCTAATTACTCTTATAGCTTGATTTCTCTTAGTCAATTGACTCGTTCTCTGAATTGTTCTGTAACCTTTAATTCCAATTCTTTTGTTTTTTAGGAACATGGTACGGTCGTCTGATTGGAGAAGGTCATGAATCACGTGGTCTGTATTATCTAAATCCAAGTCCTTTAATGTCATGTCTTGTTTCTCCTTCTCCTAAACTTTTGCATGATCGTCTGGGTCATCCAAGTTTACCAAAGTTGAAAGTAATGGCTCCTAGTCTCAAACATCTTCGTGGTTTAGAATGTGAATCTTGCTAATTAGGAAAACATGTTAGGTCTACCTTTCCTAAACACTCTGAAACTCCATGTAATTTTCCTTTCTCAAATATTCATTATGATGTTTGGGGACCAAGTCGTGTCTCTTCATTTGACTTTCAATATTTTGTAATCTTTATTGATAAATTTTTTAGATGTACTTGGGTTTATAATGAAAGACATATATGAAATTTTGTCCATTTTTGTGTCCTTCTTCAATGAAATTAAAAATCAATTTGGGAAGATAATTAAAGTTCTTAGAAGTGATAATGCCAAAGAATATTTTTTAGCGTTCTCTTCTTTTTTATCTTCCCAAGGCATTTTACATCAGTCAAATTGTCCTCGCACTCCACAGCAAAATAGTATTGCAGAAAGAAAAAATAGGCATCTTATTGAGACTGCACACTCTCTAATGTTGAATGTCAATGTTCCTGATCATCATTGGGGAGATGCAATTCTCACAACTTGTTTTCTTGTCAACTGCATGCCATTTTCTTCTCTTCAAAATCAAATTCCTCATTCCCTTATCTTTCTAGATGATCCTCTTTATCATGTGTCTCCTCGTGTATTTGATTGTACCTGTTTTGTCCATAATGTCTCTCCAGGTCTGGATAAGTTTGGTGCTAAAGCCATTAAATGTGTCTTCTTAGGGTATTCTCGCCTCCAAAAAGGGTATAAATGTTATTCTCCATCCACCAAAAGGTATTATATGTCTGCTGATGTCACCTTCTTTGAGGAAACACCCTTCTTTTCTTCCCCCATGGAGGATGATTTCTCTATTCAAAATGTTCTTCCTATAACCTCATGTGATCCATTTATAATACTTGATCCTTCACCAATTTAACCTACAGGTCTCAATGATTCTTCTCCTCTTCTTATACCCTCTTGTGATCCACCTACACCTTTACCAAATTCTGTAGATAATCGTGATTCAGAACCTTCTCCATCAGATTCTCATACCATGGATCCTTTGACCTCTCCCACTTTTGATTCTTGATGGCTATTGCACTTAGAAAAGGTATTTGTTCCTCTCAGAATCCCTTTCCTATTTTTAACTTTTTAAGTTACCATCGTTTGTTTCCTTCCTATTCCTCTTTTGTTGTCTCTTTGGCTGACACCACTATTCCTAATACTGTCCATGAGACTCTTGATCACCATGGATGACGACAAGCCATGATTGATGAAATGCAGGCTCTTGAGCACAATGGCACTTGGGAACTTGTCCCTCTTCCTCCTGGCAAAAAGGCTATGGGTTGTAAGTGAGTCTATGCAGTTAAAGTTGATAATAATGGTAAAGTGGATCGTCTTAAAGCTCGTTTAGTAGCTAAAGGCTACACTCAAATTTATGGTCTTGACTATTGTGATACCTTCTCTCCAGTAGCTAAGATTTTCACTATTCGTCTTTTCTTTACTATGACTGTGATTTGTCATTGGCCCCTTCACCAACTGGACATTAAAAATGTCTTTCTTCATGGTGACCTTGAGGAAAATATTTATATGGAGCAACCTCCTGGCTTTGTTGCTCAAGGGGAGTCTGGTTTAGTGTGCAAGCTACACCGATCTCTTTATGACTTGAAGCAGTCACCCCGAGCTTGGTTTGAGAAATTCAGTCATGTTGTACAGTTGTTTGGCTTGAAAATACTCATATGTATAACAATTGATGTTGTGATTAAAAATACTCAGATGTATAACAAACGTGTTAAATCTCAACTGTTCATTAACCTTTAGAGTATCCAAATTCACATCACTGTTTTTTTTTTTTTTCTTACAAAAAGAATCATCGGAATTTATTTATTTTGGGTTAAATCTGTGTTTTCATTCTTTTCACATTTCTGGGTTTGGATGTAGTTGCTTTGGGTTCACATATTCAGAGGATAATTGCTAATATGGTTTTTGGATAAATGTGGATATCCAACCAAATTTTTAAAATGGACAGAGAATAATCCAGTTAAAAATATATTTTATATATTGAGTTTATTTTAATTGGATCTCGAAATGGTTTTTGGATGTCTTCAATATATGTACGTTTTTAGATCTGAGCATTATTATGTGTATTATAAATTAGTTAATATCGTATGTGCTATCTTAGGTATAGCAGGCACTCTGTTATCTGCTATAACATATTTGGGCTTCACCACGTACCACTGCTCTTAGAACATATTTGCTTCTTAGAATTGACCTGCATATCTTGAATTGTTTCCTAACATAAAACATTTAAGTTATTATTTTTACTTTATTTGGCATGTTTTGTTAGGTCTATTGGAGATGAAAGCCTTTGCAAGGAAGTATTTGAGGAGTACATTGCTCAGCTAAAAGAAGAGGCAAAGGAAAGTGAGCGGAAACGGAAGGAGGAAAGGGTATAAATTCTGTTCATTGCATATGAATTTGAGATTAGTGTATGTCATTCATTTTCTCTTGCATATGAATTATAAGCTATCATTATAAAGAAGAGGAGAGCATATTGGTCATGGATAACCAGTCAGCTCATTGATTGCTGCCTAGTTCAATAGCTGGGAATATCAGTTATCATAATTGTCATTTTAAATTGTGATGTTATACCCTAGAGTGTGCCAATTTATGCATTTATGTTCTACTCTTATTTGGACATCTTATTAAATGAAGTATTATTACAGATGAAAGTAAGCCCTTGTGTTCAATTTTCTGGCTGTTTTATCTTTTTCTTTCAAGGTGTAGATGAATTTCTATTAATGCATGCTTGTTACTATATTTTTCTATCATTATGGAAGAATATAAATGAATTTTCACTAGTGAACTTGGCAAGTAATTACAAAGTGCATATGGCAGTTCAAATCCTCTGCAGTAGTTTTTCATCATCTTGTCTGTGAATCTTTTTTATAGTCAGGCATGGACTAGTGTTAAAATCTGGATAACAATATCTTAAACTGATGAATTTCGGTATTCATAAAGTCTGTGAAAAGAAAAGGAGTCACTGGGTAGCTACTATTAATTTTTCTACAGGTGAAGAAGGAAAAAGACAGGGAGGAAAGAGAGAGAAGGAAAGGGAAGCAAAGAAGGGAAAAAGAGGGAGGCGGGGAAAGAGGGAAAGATGAGGCGCATAAGAAGGATAAAACAGACAGTGACAGTATGGAGTTAACTGAAATCCAATCCTCCAAAGAAAATAAAAGATCTGAAGATGATAATAGAAAACAAAGGAAGCAGCGGCACAGTCCCGAGCACGAAATGGATAAAGAGAAGACTAAGAAATCTCATGGTCATGGTAGTGACCGCAAGAAGTCAAAACGCGTATGTAGATTTATGGCTGGTCTGTCTTACAGATGTTCATGATTTCTATGATTTATTGTTCACTGATTATCTTCTGCTTTTTGGTTGCATTTTTTTTTCCTTGGTCGAGCAGCGAGCATCTGGCCATGAATCAGATGAAGGACGGCACAAAAGACACAAGAGAGACCACCGCAGAGAAGGCGAGCATGGAGATCTTGAAGATGGGGAATTTGGTGATGGTGTGGATAGATGGTAGCCATGTTATTCTATTTCAATCCTATGATTACCTTTTGTTTATCTCAATATGTATTATTTTTCAAAAAAATATTCAAATATAAATTTTCTAGAGAACTTATTCTAATGTTCTACACTGAAGATGATTTTCCTACTGGAATGAAAGGTTAAGTTCTTACATGAGGATCACAGTTTGTTGCAACTTTCTTTGATTGACATGAATATTCTCATTTCAAGTTTTCACAAAATCATGTCTAAATATTGTGTATCATAAAATTACTAGTTAAATAGAGCCCCACTATTTATGTGTTTAAGTTAGCTTCAATTAAGAGGGTTCTTGGCACTTATGTGATTTCATTTTGGTCCATATGTAACATATTGTAGTTTAACGCTGAAACTTAGACCAATGTTTTGAGTGCAGACTGGACTGAATCGGATTTGGTTACTTTGCGATGGTGTTATGTCACTGATTTCCTGTAACCGTTATTGTTTCTCTTTCCTTGGCTGAACCTGATTCATAACAACAAATAGGTGTGTCCAAAACTCATTAATAATACAAGGACCTACATTCACAGAAATTGGATAACAAGGACTAAGATTACTACGAGGTTATGTGCTAATGGTTTGCAGCTGATTCTACCTTTAAACTATTATCATTTACAGTTGATCTGGATTCTGGCCTGAGATCAGAACTCAACACAGGGAAATGCTTAACACTGCAAGCTATTGGAAATTCAGAAATGGTCATAACCGAGAAATCATTATCTTCTTCAGGTAACAAGCACCGCCTATTTGATTTGCGTCGTTTTATCTATAGTTAATGGAGTTGACACTTGACACCAGACAAAACCCTTTAATTTTGTTTTTCCCCACCACAATTATTACTGAATTAACTTTTCGTGGTAAAGTTTATTTGGTGAAGGCAATTTCTATAACTACTTTGCCTATAAAATATAGATTATAGATGGTGCGATAAATTATCAGATTATGGTTCAAAGTTCCTTTTTCTTGGTTAGTACCAAAAGATTCTACCACAAATAGCATCTAGCCTACCCATTTTTAATGACCAAGGCGAAGTATGAACAATGAAGTCATTATTTTGAAACAAACAACCGGTAATGACCCTTTAATTACCAAGATTTCCAAGTATTATTGGCTTGGCAGGGCCAAACAATCACGGCCTCTATCCCTTTATTGCCCTTTTATGATTCCTTTCTTCCTACCCCTTCCATCCTCCGTTTTTCTTTTTCATCTGTGCCCTTTTTTCAATAACTTAGCTGATAAGAACTTATTCCCCCAAGGCATTTTCTGGCGTCTATTATGACAATTCAAAATAAAATGAGTGAAGTTACAATCAAGGTTTAATTCCTTAAATAAATGTCATTACAATCAATTTATTTTCCCCCCTTGATATGAATATGATCTGATTATGACAACTAAACCAGTCCTTAACAATTTGGTGTCGTAGGCGCAAGCACTGAGCTACTTCACCCAAAATGAAAAAGTTTGGAAACAATGACAACGTGGTTCATTTTTATCTTTTTCTCTTGCATATTTGAGTTTAAGTACAAAAAATATTAATCACTAGCTAGTCGCATACAATAAGTGAAAGTGGAATGTATCCATTACTTGCTTCTATAAGCGAAATCAACTCATTAATTTGGAAGACTTTCGCAGCACAATTCTGGATCAATCCCTTTAAGCACTTAATAATCTGGGCCCCCGCTCTTCCGCACTTAGTACCTTCAAGCCTTTTAATAGAAGAGAAATGGTGAAATTTTACGGGCATGTATTGCTATCACTAGTCAATAAATTTTGGGCTATTGCAGAATTTTGAGTTTTTAGGCTTAGACGCCACTAGATTGTGGCTTGTGAGTTCTAACATTGTAGACCACCTTAATTGCTTAATCACTGCGAAAATCTGTCTCAAATGTTCAATCATAGTTCTATTTGGTAAAGGTTCATTTAAAAGGTTGGTTGGTTCAAGTTTCAAAGCTTGTAAGGTTAACATCCTACACCAACCTAGTATGTGAACAAAGTATTTATCATAATAAGTTGGTATATGAACAAAATAATACTTATGTATAACTTTCTCAATCCTCTTGTTATGCATTGAGGTAGGTTTGTTCTCAATTCTAGTAAGGTCTAGTCACTAATGTCCAACACCGAAGTACATAAACCTATCTTTTTGAGTTTGAGATTAAGTTAGAACGAGTTATTTCTTAATTATAATGAAAATGGTTTAAATCAATGCCTTATATGGGCATCGAAGTGGAAAGGGATAGAGTTTATCAATCTAGCATCCATAAATTTCAGGTTTCTAAAAGTTACTACGATGCATGCATCTATTTCAAAGGTAACCAACCATATTCCAACAGCATTCATAAATACAAAAAATGACAATCCTGTGAAGAAGAAACTCGTGAATGTAGAAGATAGATGCTGAGCTAGATTATCTCTAGAAATGCAAAAGATGAATAATAATAAATGAAAAGCTTCTTTCATTTTCAAATGTCATGCTTTTGATTCTTAACTTTTCTTTTGGCACGTTTACGTCACCCAGTAGTAGTGCCACTGGCTGCACTCTCATTGCTTGTAGCTGCTAATGTTCCCCATTAGACATGCCAAATATTATTTCGTGAGCAACTTTAAAATCACTGTAATCAATTTTGCATTACATCTGGATGCACATCATGATTGTTTTGTCACGAATAGGATTATCAAGTTGATATCACAACCATTAATATTTTTAAAGCCTTATATTGGAAGAAAAAAAGGATTAAGTAAACACATGAAGCTATGCATAACACGCATGTGAAAAGTCCATCATCTCAATTACTGGGACCATTTCACACTTTATCACAATAGATGCCTTATTTCTGCAGTTGGTCCTACCTGTTTTTAGTAAGAGTAAAGCTTCAAATTTATTTTCTAAATTTAAATGTGATCCATTAATTAAAAATACCAAATAAATATCAAATTTTCCTTCTGTATTACTATTTTGATTTTATAAAACATAAATATGTTGATATTTTAAATTTTAGTGACACTCTAATTTATAGAGGACCAATATAATAATTATCTCTATATTAAAATACCATTTGACAAATGCTTGACAACTTAAAATTCCGAGGGCCACCAAATGCATTTTGTTCACATTAAAAGTCGTATTTTTCTAGAATACTACGATGTATGAACAAAGAAAGTTCAATATTTTTTTGTTTTTTGTTATACTTTCTAAAAGTGGTTTTTTCCGGTGAGTAAAATATATTTCATCATATCCATTAAATTTTAGAGAGATAATTATGCTACAATTAAAATATAAAATTAATTTATCACCTCTTGCTATAAAAACTTATTAACGAATCACATGATAGCAACATTATATTTTATGGTTAATTAAATATTTGAACTTTTTCGGTGAAACTATCACACACGGACCTTGTTGAAAAATGAGAGATTATAATTCCAAAATTTTATTATGATTTTAATCCTATATTATGCTTAAAGTTTTGATAATTTTTATTAATATTTATGATTTTATTCTCAATTTAATAATTATTAAATTTATATATTTATAAATTTAATTTCTTATCTTTTTAAGTTTTTTTATTTTTTTATATTTTTTAATTATTTATTAATAATATATTATTTATTAATAATATATAATTTTTTTTCTGTCTAGGCCATCTACAATTTTAATTACTGAGGCCGGCCTACATATAATTTTTTATATGCCTCTATTTATTTCCATTCCTCACAAACTTTCATCCCACTCGTCAACACCACCCGATTTTTTTTTTCTTTTTTTACAAATCTCATCTCATTTTTTTCTATGTTTTTAATCAATACTTATTTAAAAGAAAAAAATCATCTTATGCATATATAGTATAAACCAACTAAGGAAAACTCAAATCTTAGTTTCATTGTAACATGCCATAATTACTAGGTAGCTACCCATCAAGAACACACATTCCACATTAATCTTGAATGGTTGTTAGCGTTATTCATATTCAAAGTCAAGAGATTCTGTCGTGAAATAATTCTAAAATATAAAATAATAAGTAATACGAAGAAAGTCCCCACCGCAATGAGGTAGTGATTTTGTAACAAATCTCTTATGCATTAAAGTTTAGTAAGGATTTTATACATCTTTCATATTTTATTTGGAAAAGTTTGGCGTAACTAGATGTACTATACACGGACTCTACTATTAACAATCCAAAGAGGTGAAGTTCCATTCCTACCCCTACACCAACCATCTATATAAATCGATCATATAGTCATATTCTAGGTGTGCGTGATCAACATAAATACGATACACAGTAATTGTCAGTTGGTAGTTTTTCGTGTAAAGCAGAGAATGAAAATGTCGTCCAAAGTTACTAGTGCCACCCTTTGCCTTGCACTCTTATTCCTATTCTTAACCTCCACGTATGCTGGAAGACTTGGCCCTGCTTCTTCCTCTATCACTTCAATCAAAACTCAACATGGGGTGAGTTCATTTTCTTAATTCATATCATATCATATGATCTTCATACTATTGATATGATTTCTCTTTCCATTATAAATGATCTTCTTCTCTCATCATCTGCTTTAAGGCTTTTGAAGAGGAGAAGTTGGACGTGGAGGAAAGTTGTGATGGTATTTCAGAAGAAGATTGTTTGATGAGAAGAACACTTGTGGCTCACACGGATTATATCTACACACAGAAGCACAAACCATGAGCTTCTGATATCAAATTCAAACTATGAGTCCCTCGTTTACCGTTGTAATTTATGCATAAGCAATAGTTTTCATATATATATATATATATATATAGAGAGAGAGAGAGAGAGAGAGAGAGAGAGAGGAGGGATCACTCTTTGAGACTTATTTTAAAAGTTAGTTCAGTCGCTTATTTTTCATTTCATGAATTGCTGATAGGACTTTCTTATAATCTGTATTCAAAGATGTATGTTTTCCTTTTTGTTTCATTGTAAACTTATGTATATGTGGGTATCGATTTTGGTAGATATAAATTTGGATATTACCCTTATTTTCATTTATCCATAATTTTTTTGAGCTGAGTTTAGACATCAGAATATGTATTTTTTTTGGAATGGTGTTGGTGGGTACAGTGGCATGTTCACAATTTGATTGGTGATATAAAATATAATGGAACCTTGCATGATCGGTGAAGCTAAGCATCAGCTGTAAAGTCTTCAACTTGTTTGGGAAATAACCAACACAATGGACCGAAAGTCACTTTCGTTTCCAAAGTGAATAATAACATGTGCAGTAGGGATGGACAAAAGAGAAAAGCTTCAAATTATGGATCCTTCACCATTATATGTAGCTTTGGCGTTTCTTAGTTTATAATCCATGTATACATATATACACATCCCTGTGAAAAGATAATGAAACTTGCTTGGGAAAGGACAAAAGATATGATGCCACTGCCACCCAAATATTCTTGTATTTGTTCAAGAATTTTGCTTAATGACTCGTGATTATTATTCTAATAAGATTTTATGAAGTTCCTCGTGATTATTAATGGACTTTATTATATTTTTAATCTTTAAAATTTAGAGTAATTTTGATTTTTGCTCTTTAAAATTTATTCCTTATGTATTTTGAATAATTAAAATAGTTTTTAAAAAATTATTTTTAATCCTTCAACTTAAATTTTTAAGAGCTTAAAAGATATTTTATTAAAAGTTAATTTTTTTCTTAAAATAAACTTGTGACTTTGTCCAAAAACTGTCTGGTCAACTCATCTCCCCAAGTCATTTTTGTTGCTATTTTGCATATAAGATGCCTTGTTTTTGGAACACTAATTCACCCCATATTGAGGGTGGTGAATAAACTTAACAAATCCAATTTAGCAAAACTAAACTTCAAGTTTGGTTTAGTAGGCTCACTCTGTATTGTTTGATTATAACTGCAATTTTTTATTTTTCATTTTTCTGGATTATGATTTAAGGGTTTAGGTAACCATTTAAACCAAGCTAGGGCTTATAAATTAATTTCAAATCTAATGACATAAATTGTTACAGCATCTTGCAAGTTCGAATCTTTATGCTGATTTGAAGTTGAGCTAATTGTATTAGCAATGGCTTTGCAGTTATTTTTACTGCAATTTGTTTAGAATTAGGTTATCGTGAGTCATCTATTAATTAGCTGTAAAAATCGTGTTTTGTAGGAACCATCATCAACAGTGTGTCTTGTGATAAGTTATCATGTTTATTAATTGTCACAATCGAAGCCAAATAATTAGAATAAATTGAGAAAAGTAATCAATGGTGATTTAAGACCAAAACAAATTATCATAAGATACCTTCAATCCCACGAATTTTCCTCTTGGTTTTGCTTTTTCGTCACCAATATGAACAAGAGGACATAGTTTCTTTTCGGCTCAAAGCCTACAATAGAAAACTCTTTCACGGGTCTTGGTGATGGAAACATCATCCACACAAAAAAGTATATATACGTATATAAGTCTCTATCTAATATAAGTTAACTTCACGTAGAAACAAGATTTTCATAATTTCCTTTTTTATTACGATTAGTGTTATTATTTTACCTTGAAGATCCAATAGGAAACGTTTTACTTTCGATTCCATTTCTAAAGAAAAAGAGAGAAGTTTCCTTTACTTTTCCTTCAGAAAAAATTCTCCAAACTCAACCTCATCTCCCCAATGTAAAAGCTCCATCTTTTTCACCATTCCCTTCATAATAGATTATTAGGAAAATGGCATATACAATACAAGTCAACCAAATTCATAATCAGTCATCGTGATCACACTAGCTGTGCTTTATAGCCTTTAGGTCATCGAGTGCTACCCTTTATTTTTTATGCATTCACACGTTCATTTAATCAGAACCATCCATTAAGATCAAATGAGTAATATTTTATTTGTAAATCTACTTAAAGTATGTCTAAATATAAACCATGCATATGTATCCAATAGTTTAGATTCATGATTACGTGAATGCTTCGATGTACGGAATCCATTTCGTTTCTGTTCATCTTATAATAATAAGAAAAAACATTACAATTTGAAAAGTGTGTCTTACCAAAAACGTATGCTAGCAAGAGATAATGGTATGTTATCCGATCCCACCCTAAAAAGAAAAAGGAAAAAACAATTATTTCTCGCCTCACATTCCTGAACGTCAGCCAACATTATAAATAATAATTATACCCTATGATGCCTTTAAACCAAAAGTATTAGCTAGGGCTTACACAACTGCCAAATCCAAGAATCTGAGTCAAATATACAACCAAACCCACTGAGCTTGATAATGGTCTAACATGGATGACTTTTAACACGGAATTTACAAACTCTGTTTAACCAACTGGGTTTCAGTTAATCATGTCAAACACCTTCCGTTTCAACCAACAACTACAAGTGGACATTGCGGCTGCATGCCCTCGTAACAATCATTACTCAAATCCAAGAGGCAAAATGCTTATCTTATCTGTCATTCTGTCTGTTCATGTGTTTCAACTTCTGATTTTCTCTGTCAAGTTTCAAGCTAGGTTTTTCTGTGTATGATATCGTTTATATTATATGTAATCTTTATAAATTTTTAGAGACCAAATAGAAAATATATGGAATTTAAGATTTCTTCATTTTTTTTAAATTGGACTGGTTGTTCAACTGGTCAAGACACTGATTTAAAGGTCAATGATTCAACAGTGAACACATCAGTTTTAATAAAATTACTAATGATTATTAAATAACTTAGACTAAATTTTCTAAATAGATATATCATTATAAAAATGGTGTGTGATTAGATTGTAAGATGGGAAATATATGCTAAAAAAGAAGTATGAAACTTTGGTTCATTTTTTAACATATTGACCATAGGGTTCTTCATCATGGGCTAGTTAGTGCATGGTTGGCCTACAAGCATGATTTTGACATGCTATCGATGGTGGCGTGTCTTTGAGCTGACTCTGAATCACTATGATCGAATTCAAGGATTTTTTTTATTTTGAGTGGATTAACAGGCCTAGAAATCAGATCCACCACCTGACCATATAGAAGCTTCTCTGTGGTTTATATTTCCATGATGCCTACGTTACTCTTTGTCGTACGGTATTTGCTGCTCCATTTGGAAAAAAACTCCAATTACTCCAATGTTTGACTTGGAAACCTCTGATTACTTGTGCTAATTACCGTCATAATTTTGATGTAGACCTCAAAAGAGAAGTCAAAGTTTAAAAGAATCAATATAGCCAGCGTATAGTGAACGAGCAAAACACTACATATCGAGATTTTAACGTTCAACACAAAAAGCAATGAAACAGTAAGCTAACCCCATGAAAGGCTAACAGGAAATCAGAATGATATAGGGTGCAGAATTTTCACAAGCAGAGTATGATGATTATAATATATGGTTTATAATGTTCTTTTAAATTACCAAGACATTTTCTAAACCAGACATACAAAACCTCAAAATTGATTTCAATGTAGATGGTTATAATTATGCACTTTTCTCTTTGATTACTATAGATAAAACAAATATTTTAGCGTATGAATTTATGAAATTACATTGTTACTTTTACCTAATACAAACTGCACAGACTCATCTCTATTTTCCTCTCAGATAGTCTTCGTATTCTTTTGAAATTAAATTTACAAAAGTTATACAAAAGGAATATTATTATTTGCGAAGAAAAAGGAAAAAAAAAAATTCACAACTTTGTGTGCATATTGCATAAGCCCAAAAGGTTTTTTACACGAATTGAGCTTTCAGATTATATACACACACTCGATGGCATTGTAGAGAGAAATTATTGAGGTGCGGGAAGTAATTGCCCACAAGATGTGTAGTATAACTTTAGATGGGCCTAACGAATGGGCCGTGGTGGGTTTTTCCCGCCATTAACCTATCTTTCTCTCCCTGCAAACGCAACGCGATCGTTTCTGGTGAAGACAAGAAGAATCACATAATTGAAATTGAACTGGGTGCCGAAGAGAAATGTTGCAAACCCTAGGGGGCGTAATCCCTCGCTTCGTGAATCGGTCATGGCTCCGAAAACTGACGCTGCGTGCTATGGCATTCTCTTCCTCGTCCGATTATGGAGACCAGTCGCGTGGTGGGCTTCCCCGTTTCTACTCCGAAACTCTTCCTCCTTCCAAGGCATTCTCTCTCTTCCTCTTTCTCTTTGCTTCTTTTACGACTCTTTCATAATGCTACAATCATGTTTACATAGCAAGTCATTATCAATTTGGAATCAGTTTCAGTTAGCAACGCCTCGTTTATCATTATCCTTGTTGGGTGTAATTTATTAGCAGTACTTAGCTTCATGGAGCTAGGATTTAAGGAAAGTTCGTAAACTTTGTTTTGTAAAGCCCATTTTTTTAACGGCTTGCTGACATTTTTTTTTTCCACTTCTAAACTGTCAGTTCGGTTAGTATGCCTTATTTGGTTTGGTTAAAGATAGTTTTAATTATTTTATTTAGTTTTACCTGGGACATTGCAGGGTAGTGTTATACGGGTGCAAGGTGATGAATTTTGGCATATGACAAAAGTATTGAGGTTGACCACCAACGACAGGTAATTCTGATTGATGATTGACCTTTATTTAGAGAGGACGATTAGCTTTGTAACAATTTTTCTTGCCCTTTTGAAGTTTGATATTAATTTCCCCGACCAAATTGAATTATCTTTTATAGGCCGTCTTTTTTTTTTTTTTATAAATGCTTTTAAAGAGAATAAAGTAAAAAAAAAAAGGATAAAAGGAATTGAGTTTCTTCCAATAGTTAAAATCAAGTTATGCACCCTAGTCAGCTTTTAGAGTGTTAAATGGGAGAAGTATACAATAAGTACGTCAGTTTACTTTGCTTTTGAGAGAAACTCAATTCATTTTATCTTTTTATTTTTTTTCTTATAAGTTCATCCAAAAATGACCATAGTCATAAATTCTTGATGTCAATTACGAAGAGGCATAAAGGCATTAGTGAATCACAGTAGATAAAGGTTGAACATCTTTTATCCACATATCCTGTGTGTCTAGTGTCTCTTACTAATTTATTTGTACCGAAATGGGAAGGTGGGAGGGAAGTTGCTTTGATAATTTATTCACAATGAATAAATATTTTGTTTACCCAGGGTTGTTTATTCAGTCACAAATTTCTTTGTTACTAATTAAAAGGGAGTAAAGGAAGAGATAGTTCTTGCTCATTTCCTAGCCTTTGTTTCAGTATTTTTTTATTTTTTTTTAGCATTATACTTACACTCTGATCTGAAGAAGATATTGTTGATGATCCTAATGATGCTGTTCAAGGGTACAGCTCTTCAATGGAAAAGGAGGTCTGGTAGAAGGATGCATACAAGTCATTGATCGCAGTGGACTGGATTTTGTTGCATCGAGTGATTTGATATCAATACCTCCACAAAATACACAATTGCACGTATTTGCTGGTTTTGGTAAGTTCTTGTAGTCTTATATCAAACCACAACTACTTATTAATTGTTTCATGTTTTGTACACTGGGTTTATACAGCCAATTTTTCACTCATCGAGAACCATACCTGTGTAGGTTCTCTAAAGGGTGGCCGTTCTGACTGGCTTGTAGAGAAGTGCACAGTACGTTTCAATATTAAATTGAGATTTTATCTGGTTAGATTTACAGCTTCAATGTGTTATGTTTGTTTGCTTTTATTCATGTTCAAATGCGATAGGAACTTGGAGCCAATAGTGTAACTCCTCTATTGACTGAACGTTCTCCATCAATCTCAGAAAATCGGGTGGACAGATTGGAACGTGTCATTTTAGCAGCATCCAAACAATGTAACTATATTTTTGGTTTCGTTTGAGATTATACAATTATTATACTCCCAACAGAATTTTCTTTGAGCTATTCAGACTGAAGTGAGTTATAAACCGTGGTCTGAAACGGCACCCTATTTTGCTTTTGTCAGTGAACCATGCATTGTTGATTCTTTGGCAGGTCAACGACTGCATGAAATGGTTCTGAAAGATCCTATAGAGATTGGTGACCTTTTGCACCTCGTGAGCTGTCCATTTCTAACTACCTTGCCAGAAATTGAGCATGAATTTCAATTCTTTGAGAAGAATTTTAACCAGTACATTGTGATGACCTCCGTAATATTAATCAGTGATATGTTTGGAATTCTAGATGCCTATACTGTTGTATCTTCTTGCTTTTCTTTTTCTTTCCTGGAAATTCCTCTGAGTTAAACAAGGGATTTGATATCCCTGTGTTGTTTGCTGGCAATTTAATTGATATGCATGATCACATAATAGCGGAATTAATGAACTTATTATGCTGATTTCATTATTTAACTTGCTCTATCTTCTGTCCCTTAGATTGCACAATCAAAGCTATCACTTGTTGCGACAGCGAAGGCTATTCCTGTTCTTAGTGCATTGACGTCATTGGAAAAGGAAACCAGTGGCTTAATCATTGTTGGACCAGAAGGCGGTTAGTATATGTATATTGTGGTTCAATGTCACCTTTTTGTTTTGTCAAGTGTCTAGACATGATGGGAATTTTAACTGATAAGATAATAAGTTGAGGTTGGCTGTTAGCCTGTGTGATGAATGCTCCCTCTCATCATCAGGGTAAAATGAAACTGTTAATCCTGTGTGCTTGCCTAATAAGTGCTATATTTCTTTTGGAGGGAATAAGTATGCCTATTTTCTGCTTAAATCGAACTAACGCTAGTTTATGTTGCCTTGGAGTTCTCCAGATTTCACTGAGAAAGAGGTGAGTATGATGATGGAAGCAGGTGCTACAGCTGTTAGTCTTGGACCTCATCGTCTTCGGGTTGAAACTGCCACGATATCACTTTTGGCAACTGTCATGTTATGGTCTGACTCGCAGCAAACTTCGGTCGGTTGATTCCTCAGTGTAGGTAGGTTAGGCATGCTTATGTTTTAGAAAGAGAATATATATTTGGTTTAACTTTTCTGTTAGATTAATTTATTGCAACGGATAATAAAACATTGAAGTTTTTGTAGATCATTTCCTTCTAATTGAGAGAATTCACTGTGTCTATCAATTCATTAATCCAACCATGGCAATGGAAATAATTTGAAGACACATAGGTTAATTATGTAATTTGAACCTGGAGAAATGTATTTTCTGTAACCGATGAAACGGGAATTTATAAGCGACTTGGGGTATAATTAGATAATTTCTCTTCCCACACAATTTCAATTAATTTTAGAGATTTTATCCCTTTCTCTCTCGATTTCTCATCTTTTATATTATTTAAATATTATCAACATATGAGTGCCTTTAATTTTTAAAAGTTGTCGTATTTTTTAGAGGGATCAATACCATATCCATATTTATGCATCATAAGGTAATTTGATGTAATTATTGTATGCTTTTTCACAAGTTCATATCTCAAATAACAATTGTGATGTATGGCCAACAATAGTATAACAAAGTAATTCATTTTAATTTCTAAATTTTATTGGTGTAGATTATCATTATTTTTGGTCTGAACTGAGCACATTTTATACCCAAAAGAAACTAGTAGTCTCCGGAGCGTTAAGATTCATCTAAGAGGTTGATTTATCTTAAAAAAATTGTCTCTTTAAGGCTTTAAAGATAAATATGTAAGAAAAATTTAAATTCTATCATCCATTTAATATTTAATAACAAGAGTTTAAAAATTATGAAAATTAATCTTGCAAAAAATTGCATAGATTTTTGTTTGAAATACTTTTAAAATTGGATTACCATGATATGAATTCAGAAATGAATTCGGTTGAACTGAATATGATAAAATAATATTTTTATAATATAATAAATTAATCAGTAATAATATTTTTTAAAAATTTATAAATATAAAATATAAAATATATTAGAAAATAAAAGATAAATAATTCTCAAAATAAGATAAAAATATAATAAAATAATTATTATTTAAAATTTATATAATTAATGAGATAAAAAATTAAAATATATTATATATTTTTTAAAAAATTTATATAAAATTTTTCTTATCATAATTTTTTTTTTTTTAATAAAACCGTTTGATCTTAGGTTTTATCAGTTTTGTTTTAATTTTTATTTTATTTTAATTTAATTAAAATTTGATTATTTGAAAGGAATGGATTAATTTTTAATTTGATTCCAATTCAATCGATTAAATCGGCATGTCCAATTTGATTTTCAAAACAGTGTGTAAGCAGGAATCTGGTTGATTAAAAAAATTATTTTAAATGGTTATAGACAGGACTTTTTTTACTAAAATAATATTATATTATATATATATATATATATATATATATATATATATATATATATATATATGTTATATATACGTAAGAGAACTTATGATGAAATTATTTATTTAACTGAATTTCTCATAAAATTATTTATTAAACTAAATCTCTTCTATTATTATACTGAATTAAGTTTTGTTTTCTGTAAACCGAATTCCAAATTTAAATTTACTACTTTTTTAAATAAAAAATTAAATAAAATATATAATTAAAAATAATAAATTAATAATAAAAATAAAATTGTAATTTTTAAATTTAAATAATATTTATATAAAAAATAATAAAAATAATATATTATTTAAATATATATTAAATTATTTAAATATATTTAAATAATTATTAAAAATATTAAATAATATTTTTTCATTTTATTTTATTTTATTTTATTTTTGAATAGGAAATTTAAATTTATATATTTTTTATTATATGAATTATTTAAGTTATAATTTTAGAAAAAAAAAGAATAAATAAAAATTTAATTTAGGTAATATATTAAAAAATTAAATATTATATTATAAAAATTTATGTAATAGTTTTTATTTGATAAATTATAAATATTATATTAAAAAATTCATGCTAAAATTAATTTTTTAAAATAATAAAGTAAAAATATTATTTAATTAGTTAAAAATTATTATTATTAATATAAAATAAACTTAAAAATAAAAAATAATAAAAATTTACAGAATTTAATGTATAATATTAAAAATAACATAATCATTGATAATAAAAAATAAAAAATAAAATTATTGACAATAATATTAAGAAAATTTTAATCATAAAAGTGGTATCCAATTCCACAACGGAACGACTTCTATTACGTTTTGCATTTTATTGACGTGATTGTTCTTGAATTTCATAAGAAATTTGTGGAGGGTTTTCTTCTTCAAAAATCTCTATTATTTTTACTCTATAAAAATATTTCTACCTTTATTATTTTTCTTTAATATCATGTTCTATAATTTTTATTTTGCTACTAATAACTTATTTTTAATTTTACTTTTAATATTTTATATATTAAATTTATCAAATTTTTTCTAAAATTATAACTTAAATAATTCATATAATAAAAAAAATATAAATTTTAAATTTCCTATTCAAAAATAAAAAAATATATAAAAAAATATAATAAAAAATTATTATTTAATAATTATTTAAATATATTTAAATAATTTAATATATATTTAAATAATATATTATTTTTATTATTTTTTATATAAATATTATTTAAATTTTAAAATTAAAATTTTATTTTTAATATTAATTTTATTATTTTTAATTATATATTTTATTTAATTTTTATTTAAAAAAGTGATAAGTTTAAATTTGGAATTCGATTTACCATAAACTAAATTTCAAGTACAACGGTAAAAAGGGTCAGTTAAGTAAATAATTTAATTTCATAAGAAATTCAGTTAACTAAATATATAATATAATAATATTATTTTAGTAAAAAAAGTCAATAATTTTATCAGTTACCTATATATATATATAATATAATAATATTATTTTAATAAAAAATTCTATTAAAGAGTGGCATTGGAAAATGAGATTTCATATTATACAAACATCAAATTTATTTCATCTTTAAATATTTATTCGAATTCGATACAGCTAATTTAATTAATAAATTATTCTAGGCAATTAACGGTAAATTAATTGTGTTTGTTAGAATTGTTTTTCAAAGAATAAAGAAAAATAACTTTTTTTTTTATGAATAAAAATGATTTTGACACACAAGATTTATAATTACATTTTTGTTACATTCTAAAATCACGTCTACTTAATTAACAAAATAAAATAAACTCTCTTAATTAATTCACAAACAAATATGTACCTTTGTACGAAAATTTAAAGTAAACAAGCTTTGAAGCAGTGTTTGAAAAACTTCTAAGTCATCTTTAGAAAATATTAAGAGGCATAAATTTAACTTGTTTGGATACATTAGATTTTTCATTTTTTTGCATTGGTTGGTCCCTACAGAAGCTAGTCCACACGTCGTGCTCTGCCTCATCCCATTATCCATTCGGGATAACTCTTGATTCTTTGTTGCTAAACAAGATACATGCAGGAGAGATGAAAAATATCCAATGAGTTCAATAGGGCAAAGCATACTGATGGCACTAACTGCTACACTAAACAAGTATGCTTCATCTAATTTGCAAGCAGTTCATAGAACACAAGGAAAAACGCCACACACAACCACACCAAGCACTAACTTGGAATTGGGAAGAAGAGGCGTTGTCTTATCCACTCTAATCGCCACAACCCAAATACCTGACTCTAGGACTCAGCTTCTTCAAAGTACATATTCCTCTTCTCACTTCTTCTTTTGTCTTGTGTTATGACAACTTGAATTGGTCTTGCAAACATCAAAATGTTTTAATTAAACTGTTATCAGAATATCGGAAGAAATCCGAGGAAAACAAGGAGAAAAATGACAAAGAGGTAAACACATATATCACTAGCTGAGTTCCCCTCCTGTGCACATAAAATGTTTGAGATGAAATTATGAAGCGATAATGTTTTTGATATTTTGCCAAATGAAGATTATTGTTTCTATCAACCCCACTCAATAGTTGTCTTCAGCGTATACATGTGCGTTTCTGTTTTATGGTTGTATTTGATTTTGTGTCGCATTGTGTGCAGAGGCTGGATAGTTATTACAAACGTAACTACAAGGATTACTTTGAATTGATGGAAGGGACATTGAAGGCAAGGGATGGGAAGGTTTCAGATACAGAAAAGGATATCCTTGATTGGCTTCAAAAAAACAAGTGAAAGGTTTTCTTGTTTTACTTTTCAGTCGGTGCTTAGATGACATTGAATTTGTTTCTGTACACTGTAGCTCTACCTATGGAATTGTACACTAGAGATCCACTTAGAAACCCTGTACATTGTGATTTACTTTGTCCTTGAAATCCTCTGAGTACAACTATTTCAAGTGATTAAATTAATGAGTTTAATTTGACATTGATTGGCATCACATTCTTCAGTGGTATAGTGTACCACAATAACTATCTTTCTCTTTTTGACATTGATTGGCATCACATTCTTCATTGTCTCCAACAATTTCAGCCTTATGGGGTTTCTTTTTTCTCTTTTTGATTTTCTTTTATATTGTGGGGTATTTGGATATGGTGGCAAATTTGTTCTTGCAAGTTGCGTCACCGAAATTTGATACTGAATAGGAGAGGGTCATTGTTTGTTGCATAAGAAGATAAGCATTTCACTGCATTGCCATGACTTGTTCAAAGGACATGAAAATATTATTGGCAGACTAAGGCCTGGAAGTCATCCCTCAATAATACAAAGAATCTATGTGATTAAACTACCAAATGATATGGTGGTGTGGTCAAAGTTTACTTTTAGGTTCACCAATCACCACATGCATTCTCTGCTCACAATTGGTCATTAAAGCCAGATTTAATTATGATTCTTAAACCTAACATCATCTAAAAAGATAAATACTGTGAGAACTTCTATAGTGGCATTGCCGTCATGACACTGTGAATTGCATAGTGACCACCCCATTATATGTAACTAGTACTTTGCATTTCCTGCACATGACCTTGTATCAGTTTGGAAGAGTCCATCTTATACACAGTGAATAAAAGTTTCCAAGACTTTTACAACTTTATTCTAATAACAAAATATTATAAGAACTAACATTTTTTAATTTTTTATTTATATTTCAATTTTTAAAAAAATTAATGTTTTGAAAGTATGTTTGTTAATGTTGAAAATTTAATTTTCAATTTTAAAATTCTCACCATACTCTGTCAAGACGCTTCAACAAAAAAATTTAACAAAATTGAAGTTTTAAATTTATGATTGTTGAGGACTCTGTTTATTTGTAAGAATGTTCAAAGTTATATTTTAAGTCAAAGCATAAATGTGTATATTCCTTCAATGTTTTGTTTGTACTAACATTCTGAAGTATCAAATTTCATGATCAGTCAAATAGTTATCCAATGGTACACTTGGTTGCTAATGTTATCCGCAAGGCGTATTATGTATTCCACTTCAAGGCTGAACAGTGGAAATTTAGTACGAGTTTCTAAGTAAGAGTCTACTACACTTGAAAGAAAATAAAATTCCTTTTGAGATTTAAAGTTCGGATTTTGACTCAATGATTTTGCCTGCTAAACTTTTTCCAATGTTGCACTTCAAATGGGCAAGAAGAGCTATTACTTATAATCTTCACTGCATTAGAAAATAGAATAGTAACTGAACTATAAACTTTAACCATGAAAAGAAATTATGCAGTGATGCAATGTTCATAATACTGTATAACACATTCATGTCCTGAGAGTTATCTGATTTAGATTATTTTTTTGTGATACATAATTAAATTTTATTAGTTTTATGAATAAAAAATTGATTACATATTACATAGAAACTTGTGAGAAATCAGATATGGTTTCAGACTATACAATAAATTCTGATGTTGTTGGCACAGAGCTTTCAACCCGCATGAGTGCAGAAATTGTCCCGAGAAATGGAAACATCGAAACTAAATTGGCAATGGCCATATAAACAAGAGATGAGACAATAAACTTGTTGGAAGCAACAAAGCACCCTCCTTACCCTCTTACAATGATAGAGGTTTTGGTTTGGGCGGTGGTTGGAAGAACAAAAATGTTTTCCCCCACACCACACCCTTTTACATTCTTATCCATTTACATGGAATGCAGCTAGCCACTGACACTAGCTTCACTTTTCAATTATTTTCTCACTCTACAATTTCATTTCTCTGCAACCTAACCTTTTCCATTATTTTACTCCCTTTTCCATTACCGAGACTCCCATTCTCTATCTTCACAAGGTTATACAGGAAAATTCCATTAGTATATCCCATTTCTAAGTTAGAAAAGACAAATAAAAAAAATGAAAATATGATAAGTTGACAGAATAGTATACATATATTACATATTACGAGGATTATTTATCTTATCATATTTGATTTGTATCGTGTGAATAACTTATAAAACGCAGTAAAAGATAAAAAAGAAAAATGAGATATACAGATAATGACTCAATTACATACCAAAAACATGTGGGTGGAGATTACAATTTTGTCATCCTAGATTCTCAATGGGTATCTTTTTCTTTAGCTTTTTTTCAATCTTTGTGGACTCATGCAAGATTTTTTTTTTTTTTGCCCTTTATGTTAATGGGGACTAACTAGGAAGAAGTAAAGGAATAAAGAAAAATGAAAGGCAGGATTGTGGATGACATCAAGTCCTATGACAGCTTCCAAGCAGACAGAGTTGGAGGGAGGAGGGAACAAGAGCACACAAAGGAACATCACATATCATATTTTAAAAGAGGATCCTTCCAAAAGAGATAAAGTTGACAAACTATACAAAATGGGGCATGTTCATTTGGGTCAGGAAGATCACAGGCAGGATCTCCAGACCTTAGAAGAGATTTAAAGAGTGACACACTAAATACTCCAACATCAACTTTCATATTTCCTCCTCTTCTTTCTTCAACTTCCTCATTGCCCATCCCTCATTAAAGAGAGACATGCAAGAAAAATATTCATAATCATAAAAGTTATATTTTTTTATAAGATTATAGATTTGTATATCTTCCTATTTTTATAATATTTAATGTGAGATATTAAAAGTGATCCTACCTAACTCGCGAAAGGATCACGTAACCTTAATCTGAATATCTGCCAAATCACGATTTGTATACAAAGTCCGTAGCAATTAATTTTGTTTTGCTTTTCTACTTACCAAATGCATTATCTCGATTGGATTATCAATTGCGTCTCTTATCATGGTTGAAAATATTCTTTTAAGTTAATTGATTTTATTTTGAATGCTCTCTCTTGGTTCTTAAAACGACTTTGTACACAATTATCTGCTCTTAGTCAACTTGGGAAGCTCTTAACGTGGATAAGTTTTATACAAAAATAAGGGTAGGTTATATTTCATTTTTAATTAAATGTTTCAATTTTTGAAGCCATTGAATGTTAGTACTGCATTTATATTGAGCGTGAGGTTCATGTGGAAACAAAAGGGTTGCATGCTTACACACACATACACAGAGCCTGCCTTGTAAATGTAATCATCATTCATTGACAGGAAAATTAAATTTCGAGAGCAAAAAAGTAAAACAAACAAAAATCTAACTTGTCTTTTCAAGTTGTTTCCCACAACATTAACAGCTACAAAAGAAAAGAATAAGAGAAAGGTACAGGGTCCCTTTCAACACCATGATTCTCCATCCATTGCGGAGACAGCCCTAAACAGAACTGATATATATATATCTTCACCTTGTTCCCATGCCTTTCCCTCCATACCATCTGTCAAACAAAGAATGCAAATAAGAAAGATCTCAATCACAACCAAAAATTAAAATTCAGTTTTCTTCTTCCTGCAGACGTGAAGAAACTTACTTGTTGCCTTTGAGTTTATTTTCTGATTGTAAGAAACCAAAGTGTTCTTCTTGGAATGAAGATCTTCCCTGCAAGAATATAAATGGTTCTAGATATATATGTCTTTTAAAGAAATGTACAATAGTGAAATCAAAATAAGAGAATCAAGTCAAGTACCTCAAAATAAGTTGCAGAAAAACCTTGTGAATAATCAACCACGCTCCCTACAGATGTTTGTCGGTTGTCCCTTGTAGCATTGTTCTGAAAATTTGTCAAGAACCATGAGTAACAAACACATTCAAGCAGTTCATCATTTTTAAGTACTAAAAGCAATTAAATAACATGCAAACTCAAACTCTTGGCTTTCAATATCTCCAACTTACAGTGGAAAAGTCGAAGACAGGAGAGCTAGCAGTGTCATGAAGAACAGAAGTCAGATGTTGATCTTCAAGGTGTTGATTTTCCTTAACTTTCTGCTTCTTTTTACCACTCTTGACCGGCTTCACTGCCTTGGAAGCTGGATGGAAGCAGCCACTAACATCTTCATTCAAGTAAGACTCATAGTGTGGAAAATGAGGAGGTCCAGAAGAAGCATCAGAAACCATGGACAAATCCTCCTCCCCAGAGTCCTCATCTTTGAATCTTTTGTCCATGTGTTCCACCTCAAAACACGCTTCAGTTCCACCTCTATGTGATGAAGCATTCTGGTTAAAGAAAGAGTGCTCCAGGTATAGAGTCCAACCCGACTCGCACCCACTACTGCATATTTCTGAACCAAATGTATTCATCTTTCTGTCTTTTCTTTTCTTTTTTTTGTTAGTGCATAAGAAAATATAAGAGTCTCTAATTTATGATGAGAGTAGCAGTGGCAAAAGAATAAAAAGAGTGGAACAAAGAAAGAAACTCTTACACACCCTACTAACAGTATGGCAATGTGGTTTTGGTTTTGGGGAGCAATTTCCACAGACATACCAAGTTGTATAGAAATAACAAGAGAGGGTAGGAGGTGGAAAAGACCACTGAGAATCAGAGTGATCCTACACTAATTTTGTCCTCACTCTCCCCTCATGGAGCTTTCTATGCCAATGAGTAAGTGCCAGTTGGGTGAGCCACATCCCCTTCACATGGTAGACAGCGAAGCACTGTGTACCCTCTTAACAAAACAGGGTTCACCTCTATTTCTTCTGCATAGTACTGTGTGTATGGACACCAATCCTTTACTTCACCAATCAGTAGAGACTGTAAAAATCTTTTGGGGCACGGTGCAGTTGACTAGGATTTTATGTATCCACATGCAATCACATTCACAATCCTTTTCTCCTCCCCAACAATTTACACTGCCAGGATTTCCAAGGGCATGTGGGCACGTGTGCATTCACTTCCGCTTACAAACTGTGCATTCAGAAGGACACGCTTAAAGTGATAACTACTTCAAAACTCATTCTAATACTATTTATATGCTCTCAATAAATTATGAATTTCATTCATTTTTAGACCATTCAAGTAGCTTCAAACTTTTTATTTAAAATGTGCCTTTTTTTTTATTTTAAAAACATTCAAATTCGTCTGATACATATGAGAACTTCCATTTATTCCAACTATTGAAACACATGTCTGCACGTGCACATGCACTTCGATCTAAATCCCACATGGATTTTCTTTTTCTCTATCCAAACCAACCACCGATCAACGAGTCAATAATGGAATTTTTAGATCACTATTTAAGTTTATTCATCAATTTACATTAAAAAATATTATATATATATATATATATATATATATATATACACACTGTAATTTAACAAATTTAATCAAAATAAATGTTAATACATAAAATAAAAAAGTTTAAATACAATTTTATAATTCTAATTTGTAAAATATCATTAAAAAGTATAACTCATTTTAAATATTAAATTACTAGAAAATAAGAGATCGAAGAATAGCAATTTTTTTTTTCAAATAAAATTATGAGTGTGTTTCAAAAAATGTAAATATGGTCTGTTACATTGTTAATCAACGTGCGTTTCAATTGATGGTCTAATTTTGTTTAATCAACACGAGGAATTCTATTTAAGAATTTACATTTCCGATTGTGTCGTTTGAATTTGAAAGCTTAGGTGAGTATATTTCAAGACGAAATAAAATATACAAGGGAACCATTAGATAATTTTTTATTTTTTTTCAGAAAGAACTTTTAACATAGAAAAATAAAAATAAAAAATAATATTTTTTTCAAATAAAAATTAATTAATGCATAAAATAAATTGTATCAACTATCTTCTATTTGAAAAAAAAAGTTAAATAAAAATTAATTTAAAAATATTTGTATTTTTCTCTTAAAAAAAAATCTTTCAAGATTATCTAAACGTATTTTAAATGTTTTCCTTTATTCCTTTCTATCAAAAATAAAATTTATTTAAAAGCAAAAAACGAATATCATCCAGAATGTGGACAATGATTCTTAATCTTAGCTATTAAAAGGTGTTATGCACGTGATGATGGTCAAATAATAGCAGTACTTGGAACTAGCTGGTCCTAAATGGCTCGGATACAATTTAATTAGGAATTTGTGTTTAATTATTTTAACTAGTATTGTTGAGTTCAGGTCCTAAATAATATAAGTTTTAGCCAATATTTATATTTTATACAAAAATAAAATAAAAATTAAAACACGATGATACAGCATGATGAGGATTTTAAATTCAAGATTTATAAATTTCATATATAAATACTTATAATTTTAAAAGAAAAAAGATTAATTATGTTGATTAAATTATTTTTAGAAAATGAAATGCAAATAAATAATTTAAAAATTATAAAACATTATCATTCGATTAAGCACTACATGAGGATCTTAAAATATGTAATATGATAAGATTTGCTTAAAGTGAAATAAAATTTCATGAGAAAATCTCGTACTAACGATTATATTTTATTGGTATTGGTACGAGATTATCTTCTACACAATATGTAAGTTTGCTTATAATTACAATAACTATATTGAAATAAATATAATAATATTTAGGAAAGTATCCATTAACAACTCCAATTTGAACCAACCATTTCTACAACTTTATTTTATCAATATAACCATAACTTTATTATTACATTAATGAAACCAGGTTGTAAAATGGTTATTATATTAAAAATAGGATAATCAATGTATCAAAATTCATAAATTTAACTTCTGATGGAGTAATTATATACTTAAGTTAAGTGTGAATGAATTAAATTTTGTTAAATAGAAATTCAAGTTTAAATATTATGCAATCATCCAAAACAGTCATAAAACTGTACTTAACATATTTAATTATTTACGCGTGCAAGATGTTTTTTTTTTTTTGTTTATGAATGTTGATCTGGAGTGTTGCGTTTGGTCCATCATATGCTTGGATTTAAAGTTTTATTATTTTATTTCTATGTACACAAAAATGACACAGTCGTAGCAGCCATCAAAGTTGAGCCACCCGTCACTAAATGTTAAAATTTGAAAAATAAATAAAAACAAATAGTCAATGTTTGGTTAAAAATAATATTAATAAAGCAAAAGATGGGATTTTGATTTTGAGTGAGAGGATAATTGAAAGAGTAGGAAGCAACTATAGTATAGGAGTCTAATGGCAAAAAAAAGGGGGGCGTAAATAATGCAAATTATCCCTTGGATCACTCATTATTGAAAACATGGAACCTTCCCAAAGTGGAACTTGGTAACGAAGATCAAAGTTGTCTTCTTTCCCTTGTTCTTATTATTTTCACTAGCTTTCTCCCTACTCTAACTGCACCCCAGTTCAAATCCAGCTAATACGTGACATAACTTTTGCATTTGATGATATGGGTCTTCTCAACAGCTTTGGGTCCATTAATATTTTGACCTAGTCCCCTTCCAAAGTGTCAACTTCCATTAGCTGGTAATTGGTAATGTTGAAAGGTACATTCTGTTTTTTCTTTTTGTGACTTCAGTGGTCACTTTGGTGTCCCTCTACAATTTTCTCAAATATCACCCACTGTTTCCCAGTGTGGTGTAAATATGAGAAAGAATCAGAATGAAGATGCCCTCAAATTCACATTAAAAAATGTGGGCTACCTAGAATGTGTTTGTGGCTACTAGAGATACCTACACTGGGGCCTAATGACAGCTTGTTTATAACAGTACCATCCATTTCCCAAATATATTTTCTATTAATAAATAAAAGAGTTGGTTCACTTTTATTTTTATTTTTATTTTTAATTTTCCACCTCTTTCGTGAATCGCTCTCATTCTCCCTAATGCTTCACTAAAATCTATAAGTTTGATGGATCACAAAGTATACAACTAATAAAAAAGTCAACTTTTTATATAATTTTCTGCTCATAATTATTAATTTTAACTATAACCGAACTAGAAAGTAAATTTCTAAACTAGCGTAAACAAAAATTGTTATATGTTTTTTATAATTGAATTATTATATTTTTTAAATGACATAATCAATTAATTTTTTTCAAGATCACTAACTTTATGACATTTTATATATATATATATATATATGATTAAATTATTTTTTATAATACTCAGTTATTCACAATAACGGATATTTTAAAAAAATCATAATAAAAAAAAGATATATATAAAGTTTATTAACGTAGAATGATTATTGTGCCTATTATTTATAATAATTAAAAAATTTCAATATTTATCACGTCAATTCTTGGTACGGCCACGTTACTCTCCCACATACGCTATCCGTACAACGGAGTAAATCTCGTACTTCGTAACTATTGAACGTGATCATGGGACCACCGTCGTATGATGTTTCTAAGTACCTTATTAAACGTTTAAATTCATAATTTTTCTTTTCAAAAATAAAAATAAATTATTAGTATATTATTATGGACAAATATATTTTACAATTTTAGAAAACTAATTTATTAATATTTATTTCTTTTAAAAAATTTTAAAAGTGGAACGATGAAAATAATAAAATAAACTAATAGTTAAATTATATTATTGAGTAAAAAACGTTTTATTCCTTTCAAAATATAAAAATATTATGTTGATCGTTATAATATTATGATAACTAAATTCTCTATCAATTTTAAAATAAACATTTTTTTTGCATTTTTAATAAAATAACATTCATAATTCCTCTAATTTTAAATATACATACAGAAAATATTTAAAAAATTAGATTGGATAATATATATATATATATATATATATATATAAATTATTTATGATATAAAAATATATATTCTTAGTTAAATTTAAATTTAATAAGTTAAAGTGTATTTTATGATGTTATTTTTTAAATAAATATATAATTTTTTTTCTTTACATTTATTATAAAATATATTAAAATAATTAACTAATTGATAATAAATAATATATATGATAATATAGTATAATAGTAAAAAAATAAAAAAAATTGCTTATTTAAAAAAATGTGAAAAATATTTTTTTTTTTTATTTTTATATTATAAGATGAAAGTGTGAAAGAAAAAAGTGCGCAAACAAAAGAATAAAAAAAAGAAATATGAAAGTAAAATGATAAATTTTTTAATGAAAAATTAAAAGAAAAAAATAAAAATGTAAAAGATAAAAAGATGAAAAAGAAATATATAATTAAAAGTTATATAAAAAATGATATTTATTATAATTATTATTATTATATATAAAAAATATAATAATTAATTTATTTATATTTAAAATATAATTTTATTTAATTATATATATATACTTATTAATTTTTATAATTATTTAGTAAACTTATTTTCGTAACCCTTGTGCATTGAATTCCATCAAAATTAGTTGTTATGGTGGATGGATCGGAAGGAAAAGTTATAAGATATTGGGTTGAACTAAGACTTAATTTACTTAAGTATATAGAAAGGTGAAAAATGCAATTAGATAAAGTGCCTTTGAATCCTACATAATTTTACATGGTAGTTGAGATCAAGAATAATGTGCATATGTATAGGACTCTAGTTTTTTGTTTTTTGTTTTTTTTTTCTTCGCCACCATGTTAAATGAGATATTTATATTACTGGAGACATTAAGAAATTGGAGCGTGGACACCCAAAATTAAAATGACAAAGGTTGGGAACGAAAAGAGAAATTAGGATATGTAAACCTAATAAGAAAAAAAAGAAAAAAAAAACCATTTAGCCCGTTCGATTTCGGCTTGAAATTAGATAGAGAGGACAAGCCCACTAAGATGAAAATTTATCCTTTAAAATTAGTTTTGTACGAAGGCATTGTTATGTTTCTATCCCAATATTTTAAGATAGATATATGTATAAAAATTCATAATAAAAGTAATTAGAAGAGTGAAATAAATAATAACCAGCGAGTCTAATTTTATTATTTATAATTTTATATTTCTTCTTTATTTTTAAATATTTAGTCCCCAAGTCTATCATTCTATTCACAAATGAAGATGAGTTATTGTACTAGTTTTACAAATTGACGATGATAGGGATTTAAGATGGGTTGAATTTATCTATTTTACTATTTTGAACACACAAATTAGCTATTTAATTTGGAATTTTGATTTGACTTGAAATATCAAAGTACAGTTGTAATTTTCATCATATTCATGAGATTTTCATTCATTGACTGATATATTACATATGTTTAATTACTTAAAAAACATGTGAATTGTAATATTATTTCCTTTCTATGCTTACGAAACCAGACCACCCTTCCTCCTTTCTTTCTCATTCTTTACTCTCCCACCATTTTTATCTGTAACAAGTTGATTCATATTTGCAAGTGTTTAAGGGCATGTTAACGAAGTAAATCTACAGCTGGCTGAATTGAATGTTTGGTCAAAGAATTGATTTAAACCCTATCCATCCATCCATCCATCCATCATATAGTAGGTACTGTTTGTCTCTGCTATCTCTGACCCTAACCTAGTGACACCTTACCCACCTTCCAATGTATCAAAAAACTACAACACTCTTTTGTTTAAGTCACTGCAAATTCTCAAAAATTAAACACCTTGACCAATCTTCTTGTTCTAGTTCAGGAATAGTTAGTAAATCAACTGCTACTAATCATGCAAAAATCTTTGGATTTGAGTATTTGCCATTTTCACCATTACTCCTATACATTAGCTGCTGGTTTCGATACAATTGGATAATGGGGTGGGAAAGAATTTGGTAATATCTATCTACATGAATACAGTGGGTGGTGGCTGTCCAAGGTTGTTAATGCTTCTTTGTCTCATGCTTCGGCTGTTTCCCATGGTGAGGTCCTCAGCTCTATATAAAGCCTGTGCAGCTTCTTATTACACACAACTGTGCACTGTTTCTGCCATTCTTCTCAGTGGACCTCTTTTCCTTCATCCAAAGTTCAGATTTACAATATAAATGTTATACCAACCAAAAAGATTTGCAAAATAAATGCAATTAGTCTTGTATACAGCCTCTGTCATTCTTCGCTCTTCAAAGCTTCAATGTTTTTTAATGGTTAGATATTCTATTTAATTTGATTTCAGTATTAATTCATCTCAATATATTATTACCATGAATATCATTTTCATATGTCGATAAATATACGTCACACGTATGCAAATAATGTTATATTGATATAGATTTATTATTATATTGATGTTAATATTTACTGAGACTAAAAGCAAAAATAATATAATTACGACAAAATTATATTTAAGTCTGAAATTAAAGAAAAGTTAACATAAAACCTATGATAAAAAAATACCTATAGCACATAAAACGTTTATTTATAATAAAGCTAAAATTTAGAGAGAGGAAAAACAAACTAACACAAAGCTGATTACACCATATTATTTTGCACAAGAAATTTCTTGTTGCATGAGAACTCGAAAATTAAATATAAAAAAAATATCAAATTAGATTGAAAAAAAAGTATTAGTTATTTAAGCTCATTATAAATATACAAATACAATACATTTGAGTTTTATTATTTTAGTAATTGACTAATATTAAATTTCCACCATCATGGAAGTATAATAGATATGTCATTTTTTTCGGACTAAACATTCCTTTCTCTTTGGATAATAGATATTACATTGTTTTAATATTTAAAAATTTGGTGAAATAAAATATACCAAAGTAATAATTTTTGGTATTTATTTAAAAATATTTAAGAAAACATATAAAAAGTATTTATAATTTGAGAAAGATAAATAAAAATATTGGAATAAATGAAAGTATGAAAGGTTCCTTATTGTTTGCAAAAAGTAACGTGGAAAGTAGACAAGATATTGTGCCGTGCACACGCGTCCTGCAGTGCCGGAAATTTTGCTGATCGCAAGGGTCCCATTTACAGCCTGGGATGTCAAATTCAAATTGACCAACTTCCCTTACCCATCAACCCTAAGGCCAACACTATAAAACCTAAATCTCATTAACTCCGCGCTCAATCACATAACTTGTAAGTAGGTCATGCGTGCTCCCAAACTCAACCCAACCCAACACACTAACTAAACTTCCCATTCCTTATTTAGTATTCCCAAGGGGAACCTACTACACTATTATTTTTCTAGCCCCTCAACTTTTCAATATTCTTCTTTTTGGCGTCTTCTGTATCAAACCAAAATATTCTTCAATCTACCTTCTTCTCTAACTCACTTCTCAGGTTTCGACCTTCCATATTATCTATTATCTACAATCACTCACTCATTTTTAAGAGCGCTTGGACCCAATGCTAGCTTACAACTGAAAGGCATACAGAGTACAACCCCCAGAAAATTTGAATATGGATCACAGTAAGAGTTAAAATTGCAATCTATCCAATAAACTTTCATCCATGCAAACAAACTATACAGTGGAGTATGTACCACCACCATATGTATCCTGGTTCTAACGCAGATCATACCCACAAGCATTTTAGTTAAAACACGACAAGACATCTAAATCCAAATATGAATTCGATTGTGTAGTTTGACACCCTTCCACTCAACCTCGAGAATATACCCATCACCATTTTCAACACTCCCAGTCATTTGAACATCTTATCATCTCTCAATAATACCACTAGGTCGGCCGATACTGATTCAAAACATTATTGCTTAGCGTTCATTATAGAACACGGGTTAATGCATGTAAAAACAAACATTACAAAAAAGTCATTTTCTAAGGTTGCATTTATAACATTCACAGTGAACAAGGATAAAGAGAAAAAAAAAATGAATAGGAAGAAGGATAAGAAAAAACAGTAAAGTCAACTATAACTAAAATCTTTGTCTCTACCCAGAATAGTGTCTCTCTCCCGTGCCGTGGGTGTGTGAAATGGGTTATTTAATTATTATGAGGATAAACGTAGTCCAAAGTCCAAAGGTCTCGTTATTCTCAACACCACCTTTTTGGTTCCTTATTTGTTCCCCAACCTACAATCCTATGTCTATGACCATGCCATTATATAGCCCATAGACTAATAGGCCATTGTCCTACTACTATTACTATTGCTATTACTAGACGCGATGTGAGTGAATGAATAATAATGATTTGATGGGAGTATGTGACCCTCCTACACCGTTTCTCCTTTCCCTTCCCATTCGTCAAATCATATCTTTCTTTCACCCCCACCACCACCACTCCACTCAACTCTTTTCCCTCCAAATTTTCTCTTTTCGGAACCATTACGTGGCACTCACCCCTCATGCCCACGTCACCCTCTTAAATCGCGATAACAGTAACTCACTACATTGTACGCTTCTTTCCCAACACCAATTTACCGTAATATCCCTCAAGATTCAAGATCCAACCATGGACCCACTTGTCGGATACGTGGCTCAGCCCCGCTGGCCCATTAGGCCCAACCACGCCAATTCCATTTACCAAATTTCTACCATGTCCCTTCAAGCCCAATGCCTCCAAAATTATACCAAACATTATAACTCATAAATATTTTGAGCGGCACAACAAAATTATTTCAGTCTTTCTCATCTCTGACCCATTTAGTACTTTCCAATGCACGAATGATAGAATGCACGATTTAATAGTTGCAGTATTGCACCAAACCACTCCACTCATTAGATCCACGCAATTATTATTACCAAGGAACATCATTCAATAATACATCACAAGTTATAAATTATGCAACAATAATAATAAATTAAAAATTGTAAATAAACAGTTGGTAGAGTTACCTTTAGAAGAACCAAATCTTGACCTTAGTCTTATATGATCAAAAGATATAAATATAAAATAGGAAGATGATAAATAAAATAAAAACCAGAAAGTAATCAACCTCTTTCTCCCTGACAAAAGATACCCAAGAAAAGGAGACATTTATATATTATATTGTGACTGTAATTAATTATAATAATATATGAATATTTTGAATTATAAATTATGATGTAGGGAATGAAGTTCCTTCAGGTCTCATCTACCGCTGCGGCGGATCCGGAGCAGAGGATCGAGGCCGTTTATTTGGCGGCTCGGCTTCTTGTTGGTGTTCCTCAGTTGCGCCGGGGAAATTTCTCTCGGATGGTGTGTCGCAGCTGCCACAGGTGGCAGCGTCGAGCACGCCGACGGGGCTGGAAGGTGGCGGCGGCTCGGCTACTCTCGCTTTGATGATGGAGCTAGATGCGGAACACGTGTCCACCACGTACTCCTCCATTAGTTGGTGACAGCGTCTCACCATTTCCTGTCCCCGAAGAACAAAGATTCATTTCGAAATAATAATAAACAAACAAACAAGCCCCAAACAGCAAAAACAACTTATCATCACCAAACACTGTAACACGCACACCTTTCCACGCTTCTTAATCCTTCCAATTATTCTAATTCCAACACAACTACAACTACTACTACTACTAATAATAATAATAATTAAAACAAATCAAATTACTTCAGCTTCACTACATATCGAATTTTATATTATAAAACGAATAGAAAAATAATTATGCAGCATACCTTGTTTACTCTGTCATGAAAACTCAGCGGCAATTGACCGTTGGCCGAAGCAATGTCACGGCCGGCCGAGCAAAGCACGGCGGCGGCTGACACGGTGGAGGGCGCGAATCCCAAGAAGTTGATCACTGCACAATCGAAACGATGTGAGATAAACACATCTGAAAACGACGTAGTCGTTTGGAGTAGAAGAAGGTTACCACGGGTGGTGCTGAGAATGAGACTGGAGGCGGTGGAGAAAAAGTGATTAGTGGATTCGGAGGAAGAGGAAGAAGGGAGCTTAGAGATAAAATAGTGAAGATAATCGAAGGGCGTGACGGAGCGAAGTCTCCATTTGAGATTGGACATGACCCAGAGCTCCATTCTCTGAATCGTTTTGGGCTCAAACACGAATTTGGGCTGGAACAATTGCAGGTCCAGTAAGAACGGCACATGAGACTCTTCCATTTTAGCAGCGAGGGACAAACATGCCACTGATAGCAGCTGAAACGGCCACCCACTCGATTGCTGCCAGAAATTAAAACTAAATTAAATTAAAAATTAATGGAAGGAAAACAAATAATAAACAATAACCATGTCTAACTTCACGCCTAAAAAGCGTGACATTCTCGGGGGAAAAGTGAAAGAAGAGAGGGTATTACCGGAAGAGAACATAGAGAGAGGAAACGGTCGAGATAGTTGACGGAGAGAAACGCCGTCACCGGAGAAAACTGGTAGAATGCGTGGACCTGCATTGCCAAGAATAAAAAACTCACTCATGCATCTCAACCAACGTGTTTCTGTGTACGTGAGTGAGTGCGCTGCCTACGTACCTTCAAGATCCAGTTCACGGCGTCGAGGCGCGCGGTGACGTCGACGGAGCGGTCGCGGCAGCGGCTGAGGTAGTCCTTCTCTGGCATGTGGTGGGCCTCGGCGTCGAAGAGGCCAGCGATGGGGCCCTCATCGGAATCCGGGGGCGGAAGATGGTGGTCCGAGGTGACCTCGGTGGCGTGTTCGCGGCAGAGTAAGTCAGCGGCGGCGGAGGAAGAGTCCGGCGATAGAGACATAGCGGCGTTGGTTGAGGAGGCAATGGTGTTGGGTCATGGCTGGGATTTTATGGATTTGTGTTTGACATGTTAAAGTGGTTGGGTTTCTCTTTCTTTGTGTCTGTGAAGTTTTCTTTTTTGTCTGTTTGTTTGGTTGCGCCTCTCACTCTTTCTCTCTCTTTTTGGTTTGTGCGTGTGAAGTTGCAGAGAGAGTGCTAAACAGTTTCTTATTTGTTTGTGTTTTTTTTTTTTGGTATTGCAGAAACGAGGAGTTGTCAAGCATAGACAAGACAGAGGAGAGAGAGTATTAATGGGTTAATGGCAGTGACATATGCGGTGGGGTGGTGATTTATCTGTCGCTACTCACCCGTTTATCAGCCCCAGCATTCCCTTTTCCACGTCTCTTTTTGTTATCATCACTCCTACTAATCAAAATACTAACTGTAATCTTCACATTAAAAACTATTTGTTCTATTTTTAACCTCTGTTTAACATGACTTTTAATCAATTATTATTATTAATTTCATTAACTAATTAAGAAAGTTATTTCACTTATTGTCTACAACATTTTGTTAGCAAATATAGCCATGACATTGATCTGTGTTTTCCTATTCAGTGATGTAATGTGTCACTATTTTTATTTCATCCAAAACTCTGCTCCATATATCATTTAATTACGAAAAAAGGTTAATAGTTAATTGTAGCTTTTAACATTATTTTTTAATTAAAAAATACATTTTTTATAGATAATTACATTAGTTTTTTGACATAAGTACTCAAGAATTCAAAATTAACTTCCTATTTTAAATGTAAATTTAGGTTTGATTTTTTTTTTCAAATTACTTCATAAAATATTATATAAAATGAAAAATTGTACAGTTTTGCGAAAAAAATAACCGTTTTCTGAGTTGTCTTTAATATAGGTAAAACCTAAACTTTTGGTAGGTTTTCTTTGTATATTTTCTCTATTAATTTTTTTTTTATCAAATTGTCTAAATAAGAAAAGGTTAGATTCGTTTAAACATTGTTTTCTAGGTTATTTTAAGTATAAAATTTTGATATCTTCATTTATAAAAAAATTATTGATCATCTCAACATGTTATTGATAAGTAAAGTCAAGTGTTCTTTTTTTCTTCTCTACTATTGAATAATCAAAACTTTAGATTCCTTTTGTTTTTTATACTCATATCATACTTTCAGAATGTGATCTGAACTTCACTTGTATATCAGGAATCTATTAAAAGAAAAATCGAATGATTAAGAGTATAATAAAATACTTGTATGTGCATATGTTATTAAAATTCATATTTGAAAAGACTACAATCCAAAGCCTTCTAGCTCCAGGTTTGCTTTTACATTGTCTTCCTTTTGATAAGTTGTGTGTTTATCTCTTTAATATTTATAGAATATGATGAAAAAAATGCATTTATATTCAAAATTTACAATAAATATTTTTAAAAAGACGGTTGAGTGATTTAAGTAAATTTATTAGCAAAATATATTTTCAAATTCTATAATTTTATTTATATTATTTTTGTATTCAGATATTATGATCTTATAGTATTTTACTCGAACAAATTAGGACTAAATAAAGGAAGTTCGATTATACAATATTTTGTACTCGTTATACAAATCTATAATTTAGCTAATCAAATATCTTTATCCTAACACTATCACTCAAGTTGGTAAATGAATGTCATACATTTCTAATTTGTCCAATAATCTCCTAAAATTCTGACTTGTCATAGCTTTGCTAAGAATGTCTGTCAACTGATCTTCAGATCGAATATCTGGCAATTCCAGAATATTTTTATCAAGTTTTTCCTTGATGAAAAGTCTATCAACTTCCACATGTTTCATCCGATCATGTTGGACAGGGTTGTTAGCAATGTCGCGTGCAACTTTATTATTACAATACAACTGAATGAGACGTGTATGTACATATCCTAAATCTAAGAGAAGTAGTCTGAGCCACAAACCTTCACAAAGTCAAAGAACCATTCCATTAAGTTCAGCTTCTACACTAGATCTAGCTACAACTTTCTGCTTCTTGTTTTTCTATGTGGCAAGATTACCTCCTACAAATGTAAAGTATCCAGAGATTGATTTTCTATCATCAATAGCACATGCTCAATCTGCATCAGTATAAACCATCACATCTTGTAGTTGGAGTTCTTCTTGAACATAACTCATTTTCCAGAAGCAACTTTTATGTACCTTAAAATCCATATAATAGTATCCATGTGTTTTTCATATGGATTGTGCATGAACTGGTTAATCACACTAAGAACATAAACTAAATCTGGCCTGGTGTGTGAGAGATACATCAATTTCCCTACAAGTCTCTGATATCTTCCCTTATTAGTTGGAGTTTGATCTTCTTCAATGCACAACTTCAACCCCTTCAATTGGAGAATTTGTTAGTTTGCATGTTGTCATTCCAGTTACTTTCAGTAAATCCAATGTATACTTTCATTGTGAGAGAAAAATACCTGACTTTGATCTTGAGACCTCAATTCCAAGAAAATACTTCAAAGGACCAAGATCTTTCATCTCAAATTCCTTTGTCAAGTACTCTTTCAATGCCTTGCGTTCCTCTAGATCGTTTCAATGTAATCTATTCCATATGCTTGTGTGTACCCCTTTGCCACTAATCTAACTTTGAATCTCTCAATTGTGCCATCTGCATTAAATTTCACAATATACACCCATGATATCCTACTGGTTTATTTCCAATTGGACAATCTACCAATTCTCATGTTTTATTTCTTTGCAAAGATCTCATTCATAGCATCCTTCCACCTAGAGTCAGCTAAAAATTCCTTAACACTGTTAGGAATAGATATAGTAGATAATTGATTTATAAATACGATATTTGAGTTAGAAAAATTATGGTTACAAATATAATTACTCATATAATATCTTATCTTACTGGTGAGGTCAGGATCATAAGTAGGCTTAGGGATACCTCTAGTGACACGATCTGACAGAATTTTTTTCTATATTAGGTTCTTGAGGGGACGATTGGTGTGGTATATCATTAACATCAACAGGCAAATTTTCGATCTCGACATGCTCAAAATCTTCCTCATTATGTGGTTGTTGATCATCACATTATTGCACACTTTCATCATCTCTTGATACAACTTTGTAACTTTCTTTCTTCAATCTGACCTCAATATCAATTTCTTGAGGAACAAAAGTCTGAACTTAATCATAATTCTCCCCCTGAATTTCATACTCGAGGGAAAAATATATCAAGGTTTCATGAAAAACTACATTTATAGTAGTAAACATTTGTTTGATTTGTGGATTATAGTATCGATATCATTTCTAGTGATCCACATAGCCAAGGAACACACACATTTCACCCAAGGAGACAACTTACTTCTCTTATGCTTGTGTAAGTGAACATAAGCAATACAACCAAAAACTTTATGTATTAGTTCAACAATTTTAGGACTTACTACTGCATCTGTTAGTGATTGAAGAGGTGTTTTATACTCAAGAGACCTGGATGGTGCTTGGTTGATAGTGTATACAGCATATGTAAGAGTTTTTTCCTAATATATTATTGGTATGTGAGCTCCAATCAGTGCAGCTCGGACCACCTCCAATAGATAACGGTTCTTTCGTTTTGCCACCTCATTCTGTTGTGGAGTCATTCGAGTACAATCATCAATAAACGTTACAAACCACATTGAGCCACCCAATGTTATAACCATAGATGGACCCCATACATCAGAGTGAATGATCATAAAAGGAAGATAGCTTTTATTTGAAATTAAAGAAAAATATATTTTGTGACTCTTTGCAAGCTCACAAACATCACAATAAAAAATTGAAGTGTCTACTTGGTCAAATACATTTGGAAATAATTTATTTATGTAACCAAAAGATGCATGTCCTAGACACTTATGTCATAACCAAATATCTTCGCCTTTTCTTACTTCTTGAGACCCTTTTGTTGCTAACACTTGACCAAGTCTCTTTGAATCTTTTTCTGTCAGATCCAGGTAATACAACTTTCCTCCCCTAATACCACAACCAATCGTCTTCCTCGTTTGAATGTCCTTAAAAACACAAGAGTCAGACCCAAAAATTACAACACATAAAAGAGTTTTGATTATTTATGAAACTGACAATAAGTTATATTTAAGAGAAGAAATAATAAGGACAGTATCAAGGTTCAAATTATTTGAAATAGAGACAGTTCATTCTCTAATGATAGTTGATTTACTACCATTGGCTGTGAAAATACTTTTTTGTGAGAAAGGTTTAAGATTTTTAATCTGTCTAACATCAAAAGTCACATGACCAGAACACGCAGAGTCAATTATCCATGCATTATTCAGAACGGTAGATGTGCTTATTAAAACCTTACCATTGAAATAATTATTACCTGCGATTGTAGCAAGCATGATGCCTTTGTCGTCCTCTTTGTCAATGGTAGTTACAGCAACAACAGTTGGATTTCTTTTTGAATTCTTCTTTGATGCTCGACTGTGATCCCACCACTCGGGGTATCCTATGATTTTATAGCATCATTCCTTGGTGTGTTCATCCTTATTACACTGAGTACACTTGTAGTTACCTTTTTTAAAATCTTTTGATTGCTTCAATTTGCTGTAATGATTTGTTGGCTGCTTCTTTGTCATCATAGCTATGGAATTAGAAATCATATATTTTGTTTTCAACGTTGTTCACTGGATTGTATCTCTCCGGATCAATGCATAACATTCTTCTAAATCAGGTGTCACTTCCTTGCGTAATTTCTCCACGAACTTGTTGAAAATTATCATCCAGTCCAATAAGGAATATATGCACCCTTAATCTTTCAATGAACTTTTGATATAACTTCACATCCTCATGGTCCTTCATGACTACTTTGTCACGATGGTCAAATTCCCTAAAAATCTCAATCAACTCCCCATAATATTCAGTTAAGGTTCTATTATTTTGTTTTGCAGTGAATGTCTTTTGATTTAGGGCAAACACTTGTAGCTTATCACTTCCATCATAAAACGTCTTTGATAAAACATTCCAAATATCGAGGGCAGTGGGTAAACGAAGATACCTTTTCATGATTTCTGGCTTCATGAACATCAGTAGTCATCTTTTTACTTTTTGGTTTTCAGCATACCATTTTTCATATCCTTCATCTTTCTCGGTTGGAGGTTTCACCTTCCCACGGATGTAAGACAATTTTTCTCTCTCTACAATGTGCATCTCCATTAGTTGTGACCATACATCATAATTGGATCCATTTAGGATAATGTCTATGTTGAAGACACCTTCAGATTGAACAACCACTGAAATTAGTTTTTATGTCATCTCTCCAGTTAAGATCTCCAATGATTTAGAAAGAAAAAGAAATAAATTATAATCTCTGGTACCAAATTGAAAAACATAGAATTCATTCTATAATTTTATTCATATTATTTTTGTACACGAGATACTATGATCTTATAGTATTTTACTCCAATAAATCAGGACTAAATAAAGGAAGTTCGATTATACAATATTTTGTATCGCTATATAAACATATAATTTAACTAATCAAATATCTTTATCATATCATTCAATACTAACAGAGTATTAAAATAAGTTTGGTATAAATGATTGATCCATGTGAAAAAATAAGTTAGATTAAGTAAAAAAAAATCTATGACATATTAATCCGATTTAGATCATGTTAATATAAGCTTAGGTCATATTAATACGTAGGTTTATAGGAACATTTGTTTTATAAATAATAATTAATTTTTAAATAAATATAAAAATAATATTATTTTATTAAAAAATACATATGTATTATAATTTAATTTAATAGAGAATCACTTATTTTAAGAGTAAATATTAGGATAAATCTTTAATAATTCCTTATTCTAAGATTTAATGATTAAAATTAATTACTATTTTAAATTAATAAATTGTTAAAAATAAATAATGATAATAAAAAATATTTTTTTAATTTTTATTTCAAAATTAAATGGATGTTTTATTTTATAATTTATATTAATTTATTATATTTAAAAAAAATTCATTGATAAAATTTTAATTTTAAATTTTTTATTTAAATATTTTTTAATTAATTAATTTTATATAAATATGTTAATATTTTATTTGAAAAATTTAATAAAGTCAAAATTACCTATTTTAAAATAAATGACAACTTGAACCATCAAATTTATTTATTTATTCAATATGATTAAGTTAATCGAGAAAAAAAAACTGAATAAAAAAAGAAATATATTAATAATTACTATATTACTCTGATTTTTTTTTTTCAAAAAATATTATTCTAACATCACTTAGCTATCATATATGAATAATTTTTATATAGAAGTATCCTAATTAAAAATAAGCACAATTTACAAAATGTATTCTTCTTATACCTTTTGCATATATTTTCACATAAAAAATATATAGTATAATGTATGTCTCTAGTCTTTAAATTAGATTGAACAAATAAAAATAACCGTTAAAATTCATTAATTTTTTTAGTACAAGTAGTCAAAATTAATAAATGAAATAATAAATAAAAATAAAAAAAGTTCAAACAAAAATATACTGGACAAGAAAGATAGAAATAATAAATGTTCTAGCATATATAAGATATAGAGAAAGTGATGTGTAACCACTTTACAATCAACATGTAAGATAAAAATGTATTTATAGTTATATCTAATTATAATTTTTTTATTGAAATTTAAATTAAAAAGTATTTATATTATTTTTAAAGTGAGCTTCTATAATTACAAAATATAAAAAGGTAATAATATGTAATATATAACAAAATATATCATTATTATTTAAAAAATAAATAATACACAATTACTTATATTTTACTATAAATTAAAGCGTGATAAAATAAATAATAGTAAACATTAAAATGTTGGCTGTGCGGTTTCGTTTTATTTTATATTTAAAAATAATCTGATAAAAAATTGAAATACAATTTGTTTGATTTTATTTTTTTTAAATTAAATTAAATATATATTTTATAATTTGATTTGGAGGATTTTTACATTGATTATAAAATTATAGAATATATTATAATAAAAATATCTGATTTTCATATATTTTTTAATTTGTTTTGGTGCATTTCAATATTTAATTTAAAAATAAAAACATGTGTCTTAAATTATAAAAATTTATTAATAATTCTTCTTTGTTCATAAGTCGCATATGGATCAAGAATTGAATTTAAAAATAATTTTTATATATTTTTCTTTTTAAGTATCTTTTAAAATAAAATTAAAATTGTGATAAATAAAAATTTCAAAATAAACTATATTTTAAGAATTGATTAAATGATATTATTATAATAATTTGAATATATATTTTATAATTTGTTTTAATGTTTGATTATTAATTAAAAAAAAATTGAATCAAACTTCAAAACGTTTTAAATGAAAAATAAATGAATAGTTTTGATTGATTTTCAATTTTTTTATCTATTTTATTTTTTATTAGTTTTGAACACTTTACATTTTGGTATGACACGTGAACATTCTTGTCTTTGGCAAAGTTGTTTACATAAACTGCATGAGGTGTTGCATATACCGAAAACGAGGTTACTAATATTGATACTAAACGAAGAAGAGTATGAACTATCAAATGTGTTCGTGGCCAAATCAATGATTTCAGATAACCTTTGCCTTCATGCGCTGCAGTTGAACAATGATGTATTGTATACTACCATCAATATAATCAGAGGTGACAAACATCTCCATTTCGTTTGGTCTAAAAATTTCAATTCATCATTCTTCTCTTTATTTGTTTGGAATTCGTTTCATAAATAAAAAATTGTTTTAAAATATACTTCAAATGTAATTACATAAATATTAGTATAAATATATTTTTTTTAAATTGAAAAAAATTATATAAAATATAAGTATTATCACTAATTTTTGAGAGTTGTATTTCTTATATCGTATAGGCGGTGGAGTACCCTTTTTGGTGGTGTTGGGAATGGATCGTCAGAGTCATATTCCAAAGAAGCACACACTGACTGGGGTGTTTGTGGTGGCTTTTGCTCGAGCTTTTCTTACCAACTTGGAACATGTTCCATAGCGATGACTGAGCCTTTGGGCGACATACATTTCATGGTCTTCACCGAGTTAAAAGACATAGGTTTAATAAAATGTTTGTTAATTCAAACTCAATGACTATTATTCATCTTCTCAATTTTTGTTGAATGTTTTGAGAGGATTTAGAAAAGAGAAATAATATTATGAACTTAATTTATAGTTATATCACTCTCAACTTAAAATTAACCCAAAATCTTGAAATATTATATTAGGGAACATACTTTTTATATATTATTTAATTTTTTTATTTTTATACGTGGAACTTAATTCATACTTGCTCAAGAGCATGCATTAGGTGCGTCACAAGCATTTTCAATATATATTTAATGAAGGAAATGTAGTAGCTGATATTGGCTGTAGCGATTTCTCTTCAAATAGGAGTTTGTTGATACGATATCATTCCTTCTCAAATATTTCTCTGGAACTTATGTTTTGATTAAACTCACCTCCACAAGCTGCAGAATCTTTGTTTTAAGCTATTCCTTCTATATCTGACAAAGGACCCAACAACCTTTTAATGAAGTGGATTTATATTGAGCTAGAAATATCTACGTTTCTACATCGAAACTTATTTTTTCATTACCTATGAGTGTCAAACACTTCTCACACCAACACTTGGTTTAAACTAAATTATTGTTGTTCTTCATGTGAGTACATGACAACACGGGAGCATATTATGAGAAGGGCTGCCACTACCATATGGCCCCACTTACATAGTCTTAGCCATGCCTAGGTAAGCCTAAAGAACAATCTATAATTCTCAAGTACAATCTTTTTATAAATGTAATACAATATCATCATTTCTCAAATAGAAATAGACATATAGTGTGTACAAGAAAGATATCAGAAGAAGGGAAGATACATTCTAGTCTAGTTGTGAATATATAATCATCTTCCTAAAACAAAAGAGTCTCAGTTTATAGCAACTTGCATGGCTTCTTGAGTTTTTGTCTTGCACGGACGGCAATGTATTTGAAGCAGAATATTCTCTGCATTAAGTCTCTTTACAGAATCTTAGTCTACTTACTTGACTCTGCTAATTCCACCACATGAATCTCAAAACTTCAATTTGCTCGTTCCTTTTTAGTCCTTTGATTTCATACATCATTATCATGTCTTGTGTGTTCGCCACTCTAAGCTTGGACTCAGTTTCAAGCTTTTTATTTTTTTATTTGTTTATTTATTTTCATTTCAAGCTCAAGCCTACAAGACACCACATTCACATCCGCACAGCCCAAGCAGGGTTGCCTGGTAACACATAACGTCCGAGAATAAGTTGACCAAGGTTCCACAGAGATTCCTTACGCAAAGAATATTCTTGCTTCAAGTTCATAGACGTGTAAGACAAAAACTTAGCATGCATGCAGGTTAGTATTGCTATAAATTGCAATTCTTTTGCACTAATATCTTTCTTATACACACTACTTTTATTTGAGATATGATGTTGTATTATATTCATAGAAAGATTGTCTTAAGAATTATGGACTCCTGTTCATTTTAAAGTGGAGGTGTGCACTCAAAGTGAGGGAAAAAATCTGCTCAGGTTGAGAGGAAGTCAATAGCACTCATCATTTCTAATATCCTGATTGAACTTCTAATAGAACTGTTCACTCTTCACTGTCGAACAGATAAACCGATGCAGAGAGAAAGTCCAAGTGTGAACATTGACCTGTAACTGTTTAGATTGCAGAATTGAAGAAAACCAAGGCCAGCGGATCCTGCTGATCATAGGAGAAACATTACAATCAAATCTAGAAGTAATTCAGGAACAAAACATAAAATTAGTATAATCCAATGGAAATACATTTTACATAAGTTTCATGGCAGTCAGTAGTTAGTCACTTATTTGGTTTTAGTTTCTAGATCATTAACTTGTTAGTTCTCATAAATTGCATATATACAGACACCAAGGTTGTAGAATTATTTTCCCTAATAGATGTTGCATTATTTTCAACGTGTCATCAGACCATATAACACATGAATCACACACGTACCTACGAAGGTAAAGAAATGCGGTAAATAGCTGCTACAATTGGAAAAGGCACTAAAGCAAGAAATGCTCCAAATTTCCTGACACAGAAGCACAAACCTGAATGCTTAAGTAGAGGACATTGGGCAAAAAAATAATGTAAAGCTAGATAAGTTTGACATTTCATCATTTAGACCATGCTTGAATTGATGGGAAAGGGATGATACAAAGAAGAATGGAATGAAATAATATTAACTGCCAGTGCTTGTACTATTTAAAATGAGACTGAATGGAATAAAATATATACAACCATTCCCTCAAATACCTCAACTTTTCTTCCAACTATTTGGGAGGTTTACGAAGAAATTATTGTTTGTTAATTTCCTTACAATTCTATTCACATAACATGGAAACACTTTTCTATTCTATCATAACAGTTGAAATTCATTTATATATTAAAGTCTCATAATGAGTAAAAATAATGAAAGTAAACAATATACATATATGTGAATAAATGAGAAAGACCTACAAATTTACTATCTTAAGGTTTTAAATTGAAGATGGAGTGATGATGTCATTGTTGGCCCCTTTACAAAATCCCAACAATGTGTTGGGACTTGCACAAGAGGGAATGTTAGAATTCGATTCATGTTAAAAACAAGAGTCCTGCGTTGTGGCAAAGGAATTTTTTTTCCAAGGTTCACACATTTAATAGAATACAATTGGGCAGCCATATTATTCATATATTTGGTTGGTCAATAGGCAACATCTCGAGCATCATTTTCAGACAGAAATGTCCTGCATCAACCAGTGGTTGGCCAGATGCTCAAAGCTCATTACAGCCTCGAGGTAGTGTAAATCTAGTGTTCATAACCTCCACGATTTTCTTCAACGATAGCATGTTAATTTCATCATAAAACAAATTTACAGACTTACAAACATTGAGTGATAAAACATTAGCAATTCGTTTTATGCTTAGTTAGAACCAGGACAACTCAGATAGTTAGCCTAAGAATAATAGTTAGAGGAATTTAAAGGGAAACAAAATGTACACTGATGCAGTGGATCCTCCAGTGCCAAAAAAACCCATCCAAAAGAGTACACCTATACTCTGAAATCATCAAATTTTGACGAATAAGCCTAAACTTTTAGACGTACATGGGCGTACAAATGTAATCGCAGAGAATTAGACAGTACCAGCCAGCCAACACCACGACCAGGAACAGATGCTGGAATAGGGATTGCTTTCCTAATCTAGATGCTGCAATGAATGTACCTGTTGACTGTCTTCAAAGAATGTAAAGGGGAAAACTTATATCAAAGTATATTCAAAGTAAAAGAACATCCATGATATCCCTTATAATTAGATGTTGTCAAGTTACAAGATATATAATGTAAAGAAGACCGAGAGCAGTTCACAGAAATTTCGCAATCTCAGGTACACATTTTCATGTGCAAAATATTGCTAGCATTAGCCTTTATGATTATTTTATTCAATAGTATAAAAACCATCCTTACAAGTATGTCTACACTACAAAAATAAACAAAAAAAAGTCATTAAATTTGTGAATCTTTCTTATTTTATCTGAGACTTCAATACACATTTGAATTATAACAGAAAGTCCCGTTGAAATGGATGTGGAACTCTTATCATGCACATGTGGAATGAAATCTCATCGAAGAATTGACCTTTAGATAACCTTACACATCAATGAATTACCATCAGCATGACCAAGCATCCATATGTGCGTATTTTTGTAAGAGGTGGTCAGAAAACATTCCGCTCCTTGTACAAAATTGAAAAAACCAGGTTAATGCTTTAAAGCCTTTGGTGTCATCATCTATTACACCACAAACACAATACGGATTTGAAAGAACTACATGATTCTTAATATCACAATCAAGCTACTTAAGACTGACCAAGGAACCGCAGTAATTAACGCAGATTGGTTTGTACAACAGCTACAGTACAATCAAGCTACTTAAGACTTTTAACCGAACTTTCTTTGAATGCACCAGCTACAGTAAAAATTTAAGCAAATGACTATGTAATTCTAATTGAAACTATGATTACAAATCGATCAACTCCTCTTCATTTCACCCTTTGAGGAATGTACTGCAAGGGCATTGATTAACATAAGTAGAAATATCAGTTTAAAAGGTTTATTTATTTGGGTATATAATGATAACAAAGAGATCGAGGAAGTTAAGTGTTATTGTTTTCTAGTGTGAAAAACTAAATGATACATTTGGGTATTTATGAGTTCAGAGTGAGCTTCCTGAAATTTTAACATTAACTCCCTAGAATCAAAATAATAACTCCAATATTAACTATCCAATATATCTACAAAATCAAAATATTTCAACTAATAATTAAATCTATTATTTTCTATTTAATTTTATCCAACAAAATTTCCTCCTAAAATTATATCCCTCTTCAGTTTACTGAGATCAGTCACATACTGACCTGTTGACTGATCTTTCTAATTAAGAGTTTCTTTCGTCTTTTTATCCAGATTAGTTTCTTGCAATTCTCGAACAACACCGTAAGCAATAGCTTCGTGAAGATATCAACAACTTGATATTGGCTTATCATTGCACGGGTTCCACATTTTCTTCCTTCACATGTTCTATGATGAAATGAAACCGCACATTAATATGTTTCCTCTTCTCATGGTTGATTGGATTCTTTGCTAGTTCAATGACCGACTTGTAGTCAACTTGGATCACTGTTGCACCGATTTGTTTATCCTCCAATAGGCTTAGCAAATTCCTTAACCACACTGCATGGCCTGGTTCCATCGAGGTTGAGAGTGGATTACAACCGACCATCTTGAATTTATTCAAAATCTCCTTTGCATACGCCTCTTGGGACACAAATATCCCCGACTCCTCCTGTCAAACCTCTCAACCAAGGAAAAACTTCATCATACCTAAATCAATCATCTCCCACGTATCGTTGTGTTGTATAACTCGAATCTTCTCATCTACAACAACTTAGACAAGGTGGTTTCGGAACTACTCGAGCTTAGCTCGACCAAGTTTGACTTCGAACTTGAAAGAGTGAGAGATCCATAATTTATCGAATATGTTGTTTCTTCGTCCTCCTCGGTAGCAGCTTGGTTTCCTCTAACATCCTCATGTTAAGTGGTAAAAAGTTGATATAATTATACCTTGAATTGTTATGAAACCACTTAACTATTGCTAATTCTAATCTATTTTTCTCCCAATATAGGATGAATTCAAGAATACCTTGATACAAGAGTAAGGAGCATGATTGATAGCAGAATTGGAGTAAAACTGGAAAAAGGAAGAAGATTTTCAGCATAAAAGTCGCTCGAGCGGGATGAATTCTCGCTTGAGCGAATGTTAGTTATTCTTCTCTGGAATTCACTCGCTCAAGCGAATATCAGTTATTCTTCTCTGGAAGTCATTCGCTCAAGCGCAGGAAAATTCGCTTGAACGAATGTTAGTTATTCTTCTCTGGAGTTTATTCGCTCAAGCGAGCGTTTTGTCGCTTGAGCGAAAGACGCGAAGCCCACAAGCCCAAATTTTTCCAATTTAAAGAGAAGATGTGTTTTGAAAAAAGAGCAGTCTTGGAGAAGAGGAGACACGACTACTGTTAGGATTTTGTCCAATCTTCATCAATTCTTCACTTCTTCATCAATTGGAGCATTGTAATGGCCAACATGAGTGGCTAACTTCATTGTCTTAGGATTCGGTGCACTTCCTTTGAACTCTTTTAATCTGAGATATTAATCTATGATTTGATGTTGTTATTCTTATCCTTTATGATTTGGAATGATTTATTCTTGATTGTTTGAGGTATGATTGGAAAATATATTTTGAACCCTAAATCACGGTAAGAATATTTGTTACGTTAATTACCAGAAATGGAATGAATGTATCAATTGCTTAACACCCTAACCCTAATGCTGGAAAATCTCTTAATTGTGTGAGGAATCAATATTTATTAGGTTTTCTTATGAATTTCATGTGTGAGGAATCAACATGGATGATTTGAGTATGTGACATCAACATTGTTAGGTTAATTGACGTTCTTAAGTGACATAGCCATTACAAAAGAGGGATAAGGAAGGAAGTCAATCCTAAGTACCTTTAATTGATATTTTCTCAACAATTTACAATTCTTTGTCATTTAATTTCAATTCAACTCTTATTTGCAAAACCAAATCTGTTTAATCTACTTAGTAAGCATAATTGAGAATTCTCATTGAAACTGTTCCTCGTGGGATCGACTTTTATTTAATCAAAATACTATACTGCGATTGATAATTTTGGTACGCTTGCCAATAATTCAACACCTCACGCTCGACTTCATCAACTTGGAGATCACGATCAACATCATAATTATCATTATGAACCAACTTGGTTAGACCACAAAATTGCAAGTGACTAGATCAATGATCTTTCTTCAACGTGTCTTCTACATTTAATTTCAGACTCCTCTTCTAAATGTTTCTTAGTTGCAAATTGTACGTTCTATTCTTCTACATCTCTACTCAGGCAATCAATCTTTCGAGGTTGGTCTTTAATTGCAGTATACAATCTTTCATGAAAATCGAATATCATCTCTCCATCTGCGGTCCCATAGAAAATAATTACTCTTCAAATCTGGAACATAAAACACATCTCGAATTGACCCAACTAGGTCATCCTTCTACAAGAAAGAAATAGTACCTTGACCTTTTACCGAGACCTCTGAACCATATCCAAAAGATACATGATCGTCCTCAATTTTCTCCAATTTGCTAAATAGGTGTTCGTCCCCACACATGTAGTTAGTTGTACCCGTATCCAGATATCATACCGACTTCTGATCAGTATCTTCTCGAACTCCATCACTGTTATTTTCCATGTTAAGATCGGTCATCAAAACTATTGCTTCTTCTAAATTGTAATATCCTCCCATGAGTATTGTCGAGTTGTGATTGACATTCTTATCAGTTGCCAAGTTGTGGTCAACCATCAACAACATTGCTTCTTTAGCTTTCATTTCCTCTATGAGATAGGTTTCTCCCACCTTTTTCCTAGCTTGATATTCTTTTGCAAAATATTCAATCTCACCGCAATTGTAAAACTTATCTGAGTAACAATCCTTTACATAAGGGTCATATTTGCCACACATAAAGCACTCCACATTATAGGTCGATGACTGACCTCCTCTCCAACACCGTCCACTATCACACCAGTTTTATTGATCTCTTTCTTCCTTCACACCACCTCGGCCTCAACCATTACGTCCACATCCTCGAGTGTTCTGATAGTAGAATGTTTTCTCACTTGTCTCACTTTGGAGCACCTGCATCGTTGCTTCTTCATTCTTTTTCTTCTTCCAGTGTTCATAGGCTTCAAAAGAATTGACAAACTCTTTTATTGTAAGCTCAAATGAGTCCTTTGCTTGCTCTATCGCGCACACTACATTATCAAAATCATTAGTTAATGATCTCAAGATCTTTTCCACAATTTATTATCTAGAAAACGCCTCTCCATTCTAATTAAGTTGTTTCACCAAGTTTTCAACATGCAAAACGTATTCGATAACTCCTTCTGACTCCTTCATTCTTATACTCTTCATCTCGCTACGCAGTTTTGTCGTCGAATTCATGTGACTTGACCATCATCATTGTACTCATTCTCCAACGCATCCCACACTTTCTTTGAGGTTTTGACACTTTCTATCTTCTCTAGGACTGATTCATCAACAACTTGATATGACATGTATAAGACTACGTTATCCTTCTCACGTTTCTCTCTCAATGCTTTGTGTGCAGCTGCTGACAATCATTCGGTACGCTCTGGTTCCTAAAAATCAGCCTCGACTATCTCCAAATTACTTTGGGATTTTAGCAGGGCCCTTATATACAAACTCCAACTTGCCTACTTGACTCCTTCGATTAATCGGGACAGAGTCACATTGTTTGTTAGACCAATCATCACTCTTCGTCAAGCTCTCTCACGCTCAAACACTTAAATTCTAATTCTGATGCCAATTTAATAACAAAGAGACTGAGGAAGCTAAATGTTATTGCTTTATTTGGTGTAAAAAACTAAATGATACAACTAAGTATTTAAGTTAATAATGAATTTTATGAAATCCTAACATTAACACCCCGTAATCAAAATAATAACTCCCAAAATCATAATATTAACTACACAAGATATATGAAAAATTAAAATATTTTAACAAACATTTAAATCTATTATTTTCTATTTAATTTTATCCAACATAAACAGGTTAAAAGGGTAAATCACTTCATATATATTAAATCTTACACTTTTATCTCCAAATCTGCCAATAAAAAACGAGTCGTTTTCCAGCTCCAACACTTCTTCTTCCCCCATGACAATGAAACATAGCATATATCCACTAACCATTTTCACCAAATGGTTATTAGAGAGAACTATAATACAATGCAGACATACTAATTAACCTGATGCGGATCTTCAAACACACTGATCCTTTTGGAAACAGCGATGGACACAGCAGGAATGAGGAAAGTATAGGATAGTCCCACAACCAGAAGAAGACGTATTCCAAACCACGTTTGCAGAAGTATGTTAGTAGCCGCAACAAAAAGTGAGTCTCTATCATTTCAGCCTTCTCCTATTTTAGTAGATAAGAAGAAAAAGAAAATCGAGTGAAACAGAGACTGAACAAATAGATATATCATGTATACATGAAAATGCTATTAAGAAACATCCAAAAGTTTTATTACATTGCCAGCACCCATCAAAGGGACAAGGACGGAGAAAGCCATGGCAATGAATGGTCCCAACCGCAACACGCAATTCAGAAACCCAAAAAAAATCCCTTCAGCTGCAACCAAACCAAAGCCAAAAAAAATGTATAACTTTTACGTGTTACGTATTAAAGTTTAGGTAGAAAGGTAGGGTTAGGAATATACGCCTGGCATGAGGGAAATCTTGTAACACAGTAAGCAACACCGGGAAGTTGTTGCAGAGGTTGGATTTCGAACTCATCTCTCTTTTTCAGTTGTTTATCTCTTGTTTGTTAATGTTTAATATGGCTCTGATTTGATATCTCTTATAGCGCGCACTGCAGGTAATCAAGAAACACGATTAGTGCCCGAAATGTTTTTTGTTTTCAGGTACGTAACGAGAGTGAGAATGGGGAGTGTCTTTTTCTTGTGATTACGGATATGCTCTATTCTAGCATTGGAATTTGGAAGTGTAAGGAGAGTGCACCCTTTGGTTATATATAGGACGCTGATATTCAACATTGGATTGAACATCCTATGATTTATGTTGTGTTTTGTCGTACACTTTTTTTTTTTCTTTTTCATTTCCAAAACTAGTTAATTTAATATGAAAATATTGTCATAAAGTTCCATCAAATGTTGATAGCTTCTTGAATTTATTTATCTTCTTTATTAAACAAGGTTCGTTATAATCTCAATTTAGTAATGCCGTGAGGTATATGAGGGAATCATATCATTATCAGTTGTGAATTAGAAATTAATCTTTAATCTTCTAAAAATCAAATAATATGAGACAAACCTTTTAAAATACTCCAAAAATTGCAACATTATACATATATTAGAGGTAAAAGCCTCAAGTTTTTAGAGGTAAAGTTGCAAGAGCTGTGTCATACTTTGTACCCCATCAATAAAAAAAGTTACACGTCATTTAAAGGAAAAACCTAAACAGCGTGATTCCCGCATGACAAGGGCTGTTATACGGGCCGAACCACTCTTAGTCACGCAGAGTGGACTAGGCCCAATTGAAATAGTTGAGCTGGGTCAAATTAAACAGTATTGCTATAAATTGCAACTCTTTTCCTAAACATACATATATTTGCATAGATATTACACACTTTGAGAGAATAAATTTTCCAGAGAATAGATTTTCTCTTGTTCATTTTAAAATGGAAGTGCACTCAAAATGATGGAAAAAATCTGTTGAGGTTGAAAGGAAGTGAATAGAACTCTTCACTTCTAATATCTTCATTGAAGTTCCTGAATTTTTCCCACCAATGTCTCCCACTGTCTCTGCGAGTTAAGCTATCTCCACGACTCAAAGTTAAATCCAAGAAGTAAGCAACTATAATGGCTACAGTTGCTTGGGAAGAGAAAATCACTTGCACTATATTGTTGAACTGCAAAAAGAGTTACAATGAACCCTAAGAATAAACAATGGTAATAGTAAAATCAAAAGACTGAAGGTAACTTATTTTTAGGTTAAATATACAAACCGCAATGGAACCAGTATGAACAGGGCCATGTCCAGATATCAACAGATATTCGTTGAAATACTGTGGAACAGATAAACCCATGAAGAGCGAGAAGCCAAGGATGAAGAATGTCCTATAACTGTTTAGATTGCAGAATTGAAGAAAGCCAAGCCCAGCTGATACTGCTCATCATAAAATGTTAACAGTTAAATCATAAATAATTCAGGAATAAAACATGAAATTAGCATGATCCAAATGGAAATTGAGAATTGACAAGTTTCATGGCAATCACTCAAGTGATTTTGGTGTTTAGGTCATTAATTTGTTTGTTCTCACAAAATGCATATACACAAAAAGGATGGTAGAGTTATTTCCCTAATTCATGTTGCGTTATTTTCACTGTATCAGACCAAGCAACACATAAATCAGTAAATCACACACTTACCTACGTAAGCAAAGAGAATGCAGTAGACAGCTGCCGTAATTGGCAGAGGTATTGAAGCAAGAACTGCTCCAAATTTTCCTGGTACAGAACAAACCTGATAGCGTAAGTAAAGAAATCAGTAGAACAAAGCAACACATGTAATGTTTGAATTGATGAAAGGGGACGACACAAAGGAGAATGTAATGAAATGACTTTAGCTTCCTATGCTTGGACTGTTTACATGAGGTAGATTGGAGTGGAACATATAAAATATATACCATCTCATTCCACCAAATACATCTTTTTTCCTTTCCCCTGTTTAATGTTATGATATCCATTTCATTTTATTCCAACTTTTGTTTGATGTCCAAAATAGAGCCTTAGGATTGATCAAATTCTCCAATACACAACTTTCACCAATAATAGTGTTTACAAAATTTGAAGAAATCGTTTCAACACCTAAAATAGAGAAGAAAAACATGAATCCAGCTGATATTTGAATGACTCTGCGACTTCCTACTCGTGTCAAACCCAAGAGTCCTGCATTTTCACTTAATGTCAAGGAAATAAAAGGAAAGACAATTAGATAATGGCTTCAGTATAATAGCAAAAGAAAATTATCCAATGTTCACACATTTATTAGAAGGCAATTAGGAAGCCATATTATTCATACATTGAGTCAAATAGGCAACATCATTTTCAGACAGAAACTTCCCTACATCGACAGTAGTAGCTAGCAACATGTCAGCCCAAAACCATCAAAACCTCTAGGTAGTGCAAATCATGGCTTCTTATAACCTCCAAGATTTTCCTATTTACTAACATCTTAGTATCATAAAAATGCAAATTTACAGTCTTCCATATTACAATGAAACTAACATTGATTGATTGATCATCTTAGAGTCAGGACAACTTAGATCCATGGCTTAAGAATAAAGCTAGTCAGATAATTTATAAAGGTAATAAAACGTACACTGATGCAGTTGATCCAGTTCCTGTGCCAAAAAAGCCATCCAAAAGAGTGCTTATGCCCTGAAACGTCAAACATTCACATATAAGACTAAATTTTTAAAAGTAAATGCATGTACAAATGTAATGTCAAGGAATCACATAGCACCAGCCAGCCAACACCACGACTAAGCACAGAAGGTGGAACAGGGGTTGCACTGCCAAATCTTGATGCTGCAATGAATGTTCCTGTTGACTGTTCTCAAAGAATGGAAAGGGAAAAACTTATACATCAAAGTACATCCAAATAAAAAGAACTTTAATCACATAGCTTTTAACTAGAAAAAGTCAAATTACAAGATAACATAAAAAACCAAGGAAGTCCACAAATTTTTTGCAAATCCAATGTGAATAGTTAGCAAAGCTACACTGATCATGGTGTCATGTGCAAAATATTGCTAGCATTAACCCTTTTGATTATTTTATTCGAAAATATAACAGACATCCCCATGAGTTTGTCGACACATTAAAAACAAAAGCAAACCTCAACAATTGCAACAAGAGAAGCAGCAATCATAGCAAAAGCATCACCAGCATTGAAAGAAGGGCTTCCCCATTGAAATGGATATGGAACTCTTATCCTGCATAAAAGAAGAGAGATCTAATTGAAGGGCACCCGTTAAATGATCATCCATATGAATGAATTTACCATCAGCAAATGATCAAGTATACATGTGTGTATTTTTAAAAGTGTTCTAAACACATGCAGGTCCTTGCTCTTAGTCCTAAACACAAATTTGATGGTTCCAAGCCTTAGATATCATCATTTATCACAGAATATATATGGTTCTGAAAGCACTACATGACTCTTACAATACAAGCAAGTTATTAAGTTAAGACTGACCAAGGAGCAGCACTAATTAGCCCAGATCGATCAGTACGACAACTTAATTGAGTTTTAGGCGATCTTTTATTGTAGGCACCAGCTGCAGTCAAAATTTCAGCAAATGCCCATGCAATTCCAATTGAGACTAGAATTGCAAATCGATCAGCTCCTCTCGATTTCATCCTTTGGGGAATGTACTGCAAGGTCATTGATTTAACATAAGCACAAATATCAATTCAAAGTGTTGATTTACTTTGATGTACAATATACACACATAACAAGCTGCATTACCACTATTTTAATCTTCCTACTTGAATTTTATTCATGAGTTGGCCAAACCAAGTGAAAATATGCATATATCAATATCAAGCAGATGCATACATATTTTGTGGTTTACGTTATAGATATTCTCTGCAACAGACAAACTTATTCAAGCCTGCAACATCCACAACATGGTATCGCAAGCTGTTCCAGTCTGATACTCTTTCCTCAACACAAAACTTGAATGTGGTTCCTTGCTTAAGGAAAATCAAACATTTATCTGTTTAACTAACTGTTGGTAGATTAGTGTATATTTAATGGGAAGGGATTTTGATAATATATTGATAAAATATAGCTTATAATTTTTGTCTCACTAATCACTATCCTGTTGCTGTACAAATATTTCAAGAGAATTAAACTAAAATGGAAGAGAGAAAGTGACATACCTGGGATAGGATGACAAGGATAACCAATGCAGGGAGACCAATTTCAACACAATCTGCCAACTACAAGAATCAAAGAAAAACCAAAGATTGTTAGTTAAACAAGTAACAATAACATGAAAGAGACTGCCAATATGCATAGTAAAAGTGAAAAGCATGTACTTTTGGAAATCCTAATACAAAGAGTCCTAGTCCAGTCAGACTGACAAGGGGGACCACACTAAGAGGGCTGAGAAACCTGCAGTATCAGTAGAATATTAATGAACTTTTCTATTCTGGAAATATAGCTGATTTCTACAAAGAGCAGATTGCAAAATAATAGTCAATGGATTCTCCGGTGTGTAATCTACCTGGCTAAAATTCTCCAAAAGCCAAAAAAGCCAACAATGATTTGAAAAAACGATGCAACAATAAGTGCCCCTTGTATGGCTCTCATGGATTGTTTAAATCTCTGAAAAAATTAAGTGAAGAGTCAATTGACATTGGTGACATGCTGTAACACTTAAAATATACTAATGAAATTTTCAAGTATTCCTTTCTTCTTTCCCCATGCAGAGAAACATCATGTCTATACCACCCATTAATTCGCTTCACCAAGCAGTAATTAGAGAGAGCTACAGAGCTACACTTCAACAATATTAACATACACACTAACCTGATGTGGATCTGCAAATACACTCATTCTGGTGGAAAAGGCAATGGAAAAAGCAGGAATGATAAAAGCATAGGATGCCCCCACAACCACGGGAAGACGTGTGCCAAACAACGTTTGTAACAGTGTGTTAATGGCCGCAACAAAAAGTAGAGTCTGTATTGTTTCAGCCTTTT